TATCGTGAAAAATATATTTTAGATAAAATTTATCTGCAGCAAATAGCTTTAAGATGGGCAATCAGAAAAAGAGAAGAATTGACTTGAAAGAATATTACTTTTTATCATTAAATACATCTAGTACTGGTTTTGCTTAGATGTTGCTTTACTTCTTACAGTATGGGTCATGTTAATCTAAATTTAGAGATTTAGGCTTTTATGCCTTAGGCTAATTATTATGTGTAAAATTTTGGTAATTATAAGAAACTAGATATACGGAGTTAGGGCTTTTTCCAATGATCGATTTGGTAGGTAAAGTAGATTCACAGGTCGAATGAAAAATTTCTAAGTTAAAGTTGGGATTTTCATCCTTCCACGCCCCTCCAAAATTAGCCATTTGTTTTCATCCCTGCTTTAAACAACGTTTTCCATTCCTAAAAACATGCAATGAAGATTGTGTGAAATGTTTCAAAGTTCATAAATGATAATTTCAGGTTATTAAAATGTCAAAGGATGTCAATGTCACTGTCTTTGTCAGAGTCCTTGTCTATGACATGAAAACATTCATAGCTAATCATTTGAACCTCTCGTTAGTTCTTGTCAGGTATTAATTTATCTGCCTACCGGCATGGATGTGCCTCGTCGACCAAAATACGTGCTTGTTGATTTGAATAGCGTGCCTCGACTTTTCATGCAGCTCGAACACTAAATGTTTCGTGGTTATGATCGCTGATATATTCCACCCTGTTGCAGAAACGGCCAAAAAAACAACGGGAACATAGGAAGACAAATCTCAAATAAACAATACATAAAATCATAGTCAATAGAATATTAATGCCTGGTTTATCTGTTGCTTTTTTAATGTCTTTCCGCAAAGCTTTTGTTTTCACCTTTCTTGAAGCATATAAATGGTTTCCTGCAACATCTCTTGCAAAAGAAAATGACCTGACACGAAGGTACAACTTCAGCATGTTTTCCAACAAATTGTTTTTTACCTCGAAGTCTATTGGTAAAGTGGCATTTTCTATAAGGCAGTTATACATGCTAATGACTTCAGTATCAAACAGTAGATGGTCTACCATGGGCTGTAAAGCTATTCTCCTAACAATATTTGGTGTTGAAGTGTGGGCTCTGAAAGTTTTTTCTGCACACAAGAAGATTTTCTGTACCTCATTTTTCACAGCAATTAACCCTCCTCTTGTCTGACTGGCAATCAACCTCTGTGATGTATTATTTTCTTCAACAAAATTGTTCAATACTGATAAGAGTGACTGGCTGGACTCTGACATGTAATTAGGGCTGTTTTTAATTCTTTTCAAAAATCTGCTCACTACATATCCAGCAAGATACTGTAGTCCATCCATTTCTTTGGCACTGATTGGGGAATGCGGTTTTTGGCAAGGCAGTTGCTTCTGTTTCTTGAAATAATGCAAAACATTGTCTCCAAGTTTTTTGGCCATTAGTGTGCACATTGGTGGAGGCAGATCTGGGATTAGTGTACCAGCGTTTATCACAATTTTCCCGTAGAAAAATGAATAAAACTTCTCACCATCAGCATATTTTTTTAGAATGGCAAAAGCGATTTTTAGTTCACCGAGCAGGTGTTCGCTTGGTTGAAACTGGCAATCAGCAATCGTATCCCGCATGGTTTTTGGGTAGCATTCATTTTGACACAACTCATCTTTGGTTTTCTTGACAAGATCAAATATACCAGTTGACGTAAGTTCGCATGTTGCGCTTCCGTCAGCTTCTTTGGTGCTTCTCTCACCATGTTTTGCTCTGGTGTGTCGATTTAGGCCGCCTTTTGTCTTGTAACCTTTATCGCATTTACCGCAAGTAAAATATACTGAAACCTCTTTAATGTTCAAGTCCTCTTCCACAGCGCTAATATCTTCCTGGAACATTTGATCCAACAGTTCTTCATCCAACATGTCAACGAAAATTTCCGGAGTTTCTTCTCTGTCTTGTGCATCCGCCATTGTGAGGCAACAGAACATTTCATCTTGTCCCCTTACTTAGATCACGTGATAAAAATAAATTTGATTTCAAGTTCGCTTGGAGAACAAAAGAACGGAACAATAGGCTTCCAGACCAGAGTTTTTTCTATTGACTATGATAAAATATATATATACATAAAACAAGGGGACGCTACGAAAGTGTTGTTGATTACGTTACTGTGGATACAGAGACAATGGAAGGTGTTAATGACGTTGATACAATGGAAAACATGATTACGTTCGACAATGGTCACTACAAAATTACGGCAGGAAACAATGACGTTTTATCATTTTTCGTCCAGTTTTGCAAGACCTTTCTGATCAAATAATCAGATTTGAAAATTTTGCTGACCGTGCATTTTTCACGCTTTCTGAAAAGTTACCTCCAATCATTTGCCGGAATGTACCTAAGACTTAAAATGATCAGTGGCCTTTACTTTCATGACTTAAACTTTAAAATTTCGGTTAGGCAGTTTGTGTAGATGGTTATGCAAAATTCCCTGTCTATTATGTATAGTAGGTTTATAAACGAAATTACGGACTTGTCGTCACATTTAGCTTGGCCGTGCTCGTCAACAGTCATGTGCTCGCGTTTCTGATTGGCCTATTTCGATCCACAACTGATTATAAATATATAATATATTTCCTAGCTTAGTGTTTTGATCTATGTTCTGACGTTTTATACTCTGAAGACTTGAAGAGTGTCAGACGAAAAGCTTAAGTGTGACTTAAAATGTTTGCTTTTTAGAAAACCATTTTCAAATCAATTTCTGCTATGTTTTTTATAAGAACACACTTTATTAGAGCACACAAATTCAATTTGCCAATGAATTAAGAGCAACGTGCCAGCATGACCATTCTCAGGATGAAAATTAGAGGCAAGAAAGCAATGTGTGTTAATAATGTACTCTCATCTTAGCAAAACAGAGCAGCAGGGACGGATTTAAGCGGCAAGGATTGGATTTTGGTGCCACACCTTTCAGTTTACATAAAAATGATGTAAAACGCTGATTTTTAAAAGTAAGCTTTTAACTGTAAGATAAAGAAGATTGGAAGATGAATAATGTAAATTTTTTGCATTCTTTCTTTAACTGCTGGCTACCTAATCGACGCAAAATTCATTGAAGGACACAAAATTATTAGATTAGAGAGTGACGCAAATCCGTTCTTGTAGAGCAGACTTTATCAGCTAGTCAACCACACAACTACAAATGGCATGCCAAACTGATTTTTAGCAGACTTTGAACACGTTTATAGCATATAGTTATAGAAAAACCAATTCTGAAACAAGTGTGTCTAATGATAAAGGAACAAGAGTGCATGCTAATACAGATAAATTCCTGTTAGTATGTCCACTGCATTTTGAGGCCATATGGTTTCACAACAGGATCAAAAAGATAAGTACTCGGTGAACTTGAGCTTCGTGCGACAATAGGAGGACAATAGCTTATTGTTTAAAAAAATGGAAAGTAACTGGGGCTGGAGGGGCAGAGTGCCCCCTAGTTAGTATGTTAATAAAGGCCTTGTTAATTTTGGGCATAGAAGTGATTTCGAAAGGAGTCTTGTTCACAAAGCTTCCTTCAAGGGCCGTAAATTCCGAGGGGACGGGAGGGACTGGACCCCCTCCCCCCAAAAAAAACCAAGGGCAAAACGATTTTGTTTGCAAATTATCATTATTTTCTTTTAAAGAAGGGAATCCCTGTTAGCTGGGTCAGATCCAAACTAAGTTTTTCTGTGTTATTGCAACAAACTTCAGCCACTATGACTATGATGTATGGCATGGTGTCAAGTGCAAGTTGACTATTGTTGATGGCTGTTATTTATATTTGCAGAGTGGTGTCAAGTCGGTGCTCGGTGAAGGTGCCCATGGGGGATCAGCCCCAAATATTTTATCCAACAGTCACCTCTTGAATAAATCTCAAAAACATGTAAGAAAAGAATCGTTTAAGTCGTCATAAATCTCAACAAATCCCCATTACACATATATTCATTGCACGCCTTTTTATAAAAATCTCAAAACCTAGGCCCTAATAGCTCCTTAACTGCACATTTAGTGACAATAGTGACATGAAAATAGCATAGACACAAAAAAAGAGATTCTGAGTTTTGCTTTTAACTGTAGCTTGGAACACGGCCAAAAGACAAAGAGGGCAAGAAATATAATTAATTTGAAAATGGCTTTGAAAAAAGCAAACATTTTACAACATATTACAACAACATTTTACAACAAAGTTTTAGCCAATATGTTGTAAAATGTTTGCTTTTTTCAAAGCCATTTTCAAGTTCTGTACCTTCAAAAAACTGTTCAAAATTAATTTGCGTAAATTACTACGTCAATAAAGAAGTACCTTTGCATTAGATGGGGAGAGAGGCAATTACTACATTCTATATTATAAGATTGCAATAAATTTTGCCCTGCCTCGATTTTTTTAGAAAAAATTTCGATTTGAGCCCGAATATGTTCTTAGATACATCCCTGTTTTTTTCGAATCCGATATGGATCCAGGAAAAAATCGCTTGCTTTCGAATAGAAAACACACATTTTGAAAAAGTAAAAAATGTCAGTATTGCGATCCTATGTTGCGAATACTGACAAAAAAAGCAACTTCCAAAAACAAAAAAGAGCCCCCCAGATTCAATTTCCTCCCCTGTCTCTGAAAATTTTATCAATTCAATTATAAGAAAATCAAAATTCTAAAGAAGTATCTGTAAATACCTTCTGTAGAGATGAAAAAATCTTACTAAATCTAAAAATATGATTATTGTTTTTTAAGTTACGCATCTGTTTCGATACACACATACCATAAATTGCTTGTTGGTGCCATGACTAACTGCACACTTTAAATTCACTCGCCCCCCCCCCCTCCTCCCAATATTGACAAGACAGATTTAGGGCCCTGCTTCCTCCGCTTTCGAAATTTTTCACACCTTGTGCAATTTAGAGTTTGAAAAGGATCACTTTTACCGGTTGTCTTTGGATGAGAAATTTTCTGCTTAGAGCCCCCGGCAACAGAAGAACACGCCGCACCGCCATTTGGGTCCTCTTTGATCTCTTTGTTTATAAAATTGCGAAACAGTCCTTTCACATCTTGTGCTAGGTCAGATACGAAAGGTAGGAGTGGCACGTGGTGCATGGCGAATCTAGCTATATCGAGGAAGAGGGAAAACATCATTCCCAATAATGGGTAAGTTTACATTTCCCGTCCCCTTGATCAAGATTTAAATGTAATCCCGCCCTTGAAGAAGTTGGTGTGAGTCGTTTTGTATTGCCTACGTTGTTCTAGGCCTAATCCCCCATATAGACAATCAATCTATCAGACTGATGCAACAGGTGGATTCAGGTCGAAACGTTGTAGGGTTTGTCATTTGCTATTGTCGTTTAAAAACAAATCATAGATATCGGGAGAATTCCGTGTACTCTCATTTATTAAGTGGGCGTTGGGCAAAATGGCCTTGAGGGTTCGGAGGACGTGGGTCAAAAGTCATCATCATGATTGTTTTAGGCCTACCTCTTTTGACGTTCGTCTTGTCTAATTGTATTGTCTCTGGACACGGTCGACGATTTTCAGGACTTATATGAACTTAAATGCTGAGGTAAAGGAGTTTTTCATTTGATTTGAGTGGCTTGAATCAAATGTTTGATGTTTTGCAGAAGCATAAAACGGGGAAACATTGAATTTGGTCTATTTTGGTGGCAGTCAATTAATTGAAGTTGGGGGTAATTGATTAACTTGAACTCAAAATGTTTACTTTAAAACTAAAGATGATTAAACAATCTCCTTAGCATGCTTTTGCTAATTTCTTCTTTTGCATGTGTTCCTGCTGCACAGGGGAACAGGTGCAACTTCCCTCTATCTAAATTTAGGAGGTTTAGAAGAGTCTTCTCTCTATGGTGTCTCTGCATGCTCGTTATTCACTTAATACACTTACTAAATTACAGAATCGTAGAGTTGTGGGCCTCGGGGGCCTAGGCCTCTTCTATAAAAGACAAGGGGTTTCCCTCCCTGCATTTACTATTTTTTTTAAATTTGTTGGCAAGCCCTCTTTCTCTTTTCATATCAACACACCCCGATCTAGTTAGCAAAACCTAATCCTTGATACCAAGATTGGAGATTGGAGCAGTGTGGCAAGATGCTCTAAGTTTGCTTGTATCCAAAAAGGCTGCTTGTATCCAAAAAGGCTGATGACAATATTTTCTTTAAGTTGGTAAAGAATCAAGCTAATTTTGCTTAAAATCCAAATTTTTCCCAGAATTTACCGGGCACTGCCACATTCAACTTTTTCGATTGTTAAGTGAATTTGAGACATCAAGATTTAAGCTTAAAGATGCTGTAGCCCACAAATATTGTTAAAAAGATTGATAAGGTAGGAGTGTAGGTATCAAATATCCATCACCAGCTCATGGTAGCCTTTCACTGGGTTTAGACAGAATGGATTTTGTGATCGATAGTGTTAACACAAACCCTGTCTCCCTGTATTATGTTTGTTTCAGGCATGGTTGGCTTGTCCGCTTTGTCAAAATTTGCTTCTTCTTATATTTGGAATGGAATTTCATTCCGTTTCTTTTTTGGCAAGAGGTGAAATAATAATATGATAACATGATTTTTAACAACATTGTCTCTTATCTGTAGAGCATACCTACCATACCTAGCATACATATCTATGTAGAGCATACCTAGGCTTTGACCGTGTTCAGTTTGGGGGTTTTCAGTCAGAAGTGACTGACTTCAAGACAATGTTTTTTGGTTATGGAGAAGACCTCTAAAACCACATTGTATATTTGAAATATTGAAAAATTCAACTTCTGTTCTCAATTAATAAGATTATGCATACCACAAAGTCTTTGACTGATTTTTTTTTCATGCATATAAAATGTTACAAAACATGTTACTCTCTATTATACTTATCCTAGTTACTATTCTACCCCACATGGACGATACCAAGGGGAGTGAAACATAATGACTACCCCATGTTCAACAGGCAATTTTAGACTACATAAAATTGAATGTTGGCAAACTAAGCAGATTAAAATCTATGAATTTTGCCATATGAAAAGAGTAGCATCTTACAGGTATTCTATGCAGTGGATTCTGTTTGTAAAGCAATGGATAAACATATAATTGCAAATTTGTTCTTAAATGCATAAAAACAAAGAATCTATTCAGTTTTAGCAAGTCCACTTTCTCTCTATTTTATATTGATTCATTGAATCTCATTCAGTCCTTGAACCCAAAGGGGTCCCCTCATTTGAAGTCCTCTACAGTTGTGTCAGTTCAAAATTTACCTTTTCTTCCCCATCTTGTCCTTATCAAACCATCTTCATATACCATAACTCTCAAATTTTCCCCCTCCCTCGAACTTTGGCAATAAGCCCCCAACTTGAGAAGAAGCCCTCACCCTAGTATTTTGATATGCTGAGGTAGGACTGCATCAAGTTATCTTGCACTACTGAAAAAGACATGATTTTTGTTTGTGATAAATCACATCCCAATATAAAGTGAACAATTTCAGTAACCAAGACCTTCTCACAATATTTTTGTTGCTGAAAAACTCTCAGGATGATAATCCTGTAGGGAGGGAAACCAAAGATTCATTATATTTTGTATTACTAATTGCTTGTAATAGCAAACTCCAGGATACTCTCCCAGTAGCACAAGTTCAGCCTTAAAGTGATGTTATGAACGATTTTGCCATTAAAGGCTCGTAAAGTGGTTCTGTGAAGGCTTTGAAAATTAATGGGATATGAGATTAATGGGAATAAATAAAATATATGATGATGAGAGAGGCTCAGAAGTTGACTCATTTTGAATTGCAAATGTCTTAATTTGTAACACTGCATTCATACCTTGTATTGATAGAACCCCAGACCTAGAAAAGATGAACACTCAAACCACGCTACCAATTAACGTATAAAGCCCATTTTAGCATTCAATTTCAGAGCAAGGGTTGTTTCCAGGAACAAAACAGGGCATGGCCCTAAAATCTTTTGCACCTTCTGGGCTCCACTCAGGCTTTGCCCCGGGGCCTGTCCCACCTAGCAGCAGTCCTGTAGCCACCCCCCCCCCCCCTTGTGACTGTACTTCGAATCACGTTAGGATTTAGACGAAGAAGACTTCATAGTTTCTCACATTTTCTTGATTATTGAAAAGCTCTTTTAACTACAAAATCAATCTATTTATATTCTTTAAAACGGAAATGCTAAATACATGTGAGTGACAGTTGGCTACTACGCATGCGAATTACATACTTTCATGGGGAAGAGGTTACAGAAGTATACAGCAATCCTGTTACACCCTGCTACCCCAATTCTCACCATCAGACCTTTTTTATTCAGATTTGTGATCTTTTCTCTTATTTTTACTCAAGAATTTACAAAATTTATATTATTACAGCTGAGGAGGAGGCGTTTGTGTCATTGGCAGTAAACGACACCTATGCCACCACAGCCCTGGTCCTTGGCGATTCATTGAGAGACACCAACACTAGCAGGAAATTGGCCTTGCTTATCTCAAACAATGTGTCACAGGTCATGAGGTATGTTTCAGTAACACAGGTGGATAACATGTCTGCTAGCATAAGATCAGTTCCTTAATTCTCCATCTCTGCAACTAATTTTCTTCTAAAATTGCCAGGTTCCCTGTATATTTTACTTGGTTCCCTAATATTTATTATCTCACGTTTTAAGAATGAAATGAAAACTGTAATACTTATGTATCCTAATTTTCTCTTAGGATTTTTTCGTTTCTGGATGGTTACCATTAAGTGTTAATAAAAGTTTGTAAGAGAACTACATACTAAACATGGTAGTGGATCCCAGCTTACCAGCAAATCGGCTGAGGCTGTAGTCAAGCTAAAATACTTTTTTGGGAAAAAACTTACCTCTGCACAATTTTTTTACCTTCAGTTTTTTCTGAACATTTCTTGAACATTTCTGGAAGAAGTTTAAAAGAGTTACTTTATCATGTAATTTTTAATAGATTTTTTGTGACTTTAATGTGACTTTAAAGAAATTTTAAATTTCTCCATGACAAGTGATAGATTCAATGAATGAAGCTTCACCTTCACTGCAAACTTTTTAATAACACCTCCCTAAAGCGAATATTCTTTATTTTCTGGGACTTCATCTGTTCCCCTAAAAGTAAAAAACGCATTTAATACTAACAAAGTCCTTTTTTGTGCAATCTGTACCAGCAGAAGCTAATCTGAGCCCAGAGTGTAAGGGTCATTTTTTTTTAATTATGTGGCCATTACATTGATGATGAAATAGCATCAGCCTTTTTCATCCATGCTACCAGTTAGATTCATCCATGCTACCGGATTCTACCTAAATGATATAATTCTGTTATTCATGTTTACAAATGAAAAAAAGTCACAGACAATTAACTGCTGCCTGCCCATAAACCTTTACTGTATGCCAGAGTTACGTTCTCATTGATTAATTGTCATTTTGTTATAGAAACAGGCTCACCCAAGTATGGGATGACGTCATTTTGGTAGACGAGCTTCAGCCAGGATATGTTGCAACTCCAAGCGTTGTCGATAGACCAGAATTAGGATTAGCATTCTTTAAGCTGAAAATATGGACCTTAACACAGTACAGGAAATGTGTCTTCATTGATGCAGATAATCTGGTTCTTCAAAATATTGATGAGCTTTTCAAAAGAGACGAAATGTCTGCTGCTCCAGATATAGGTTGGCCAGACTGCTTCAACAGTGGAGTGTTCGTCTTTGTCCCTTCCTTTGACACGTACCAGGCACTTGTTAGATTTGCAGATGAGCATGGAAGCTTTGATGGTAAGTTTGTTGCGAGCAAACCTACAGAAATAGCTAGCTGCAAGGAAATTCACAATTGCAAACAGTAAAACTAGTTGTAGAAGCAATAAATTCCAAGTATTTCAACTAAAATGGCTATTCTTTTTCAGATGTCCAAATTTCAAATTTGACCTTTCGCAATCACCTCCTACTGGTCTGATTTTTGCCACTTTTTTACAGGAACTGACCAGGGTCTGCTGAACATGTATTTCAAAGAATGGTCGAAAACGCTGACAAGTCATTTGCCTTACATATACAATATGGTCGCTAGCACCTGTTACACATATGCTCCAGCTATCAACCAGTACGTTCGTCATAGATATCATTTTCAGTAGGTGGTTGCTGCAAAGACATTTTGCTAGATTAGAAATCATCCCGTTCTATCTTTATAATAAATAGTACACTAAAGACACCTTTAATTGACATGATGACAAAGGCAATGCTAGCTGAAGCAGCTGTAGGCTCCTCATTGCGTTGCTATGGATTTTTAGAATTGTCAACCCCTTAAACTTTAGCCTGTCTATCCCAAGCTGAACCATGTCAATTTACGTAATGTTTGCATTGACAAGGGTGCAAGATTTTTGGCTCTAGAGGATAACCAATTACTAACTCGCACAGGGATAGCTCTATCGATTAGTTTGATTCCTACAGGGCTTTTTAATTTAATTAGTATCATAGGAGATTCCTGCTATGGTTATAATTCTTGCCTTTCATTTACACTAGCTATGGAAAAAGCGTCAAAGTAGTGCGTTACGCCGGCTCTTCAAAGCCATGGGCGCAAGGCTACGATTACAATAAGTCTCACGCTTATAGACTGTCCTCGTCACCAGCAGATGAATTCCAGCAAAACTTCCACAAGTTGTGGTGGGACAGATATTACAAGTTGCATCCGGATGTTCCATTTCAACAAGAGCAGTCATCGGATCAGGTAAGCCTTGCCTCATACTTATACATAAGGTAAGCTCAGGGAAAAGTGGGAGGGTAATCGGTTTTAGATTCGCCAATTAATAGACCTTTCTGAAGTTTGTGACATTATCTTTCTTACGGGCCTACTCTCCATTGTCAACAACATGCTTTTAAACTAATGAGCCCTTCTCTTCACGATCTATTTTTTTCAAACTGCTTCCCATTCATTTTCAAAGCCTTCACAGTACCACGTTACGAGCGTGCGTTTTCTGATAGCGTTGTTGCTTTCTTTTCAGCATGTATGTCACGAAAGACGGAGTGAGTCGCCAGCGTTTCATGAAGATCCTAAAGAGGAAACCGTATCGGAACAGCAAAAGGCCTGGGAGCGAGGTGAAATTGATTTCACAAGGAAGGATCGCTTTGACGTCATCCAGCATTACATCGACAATGTAATTGAGGGTGTACCAAACGTTAAGGTAAGATCTGACTTGTTATTTCCCCATTTCCTCTCGCTTTACGATCCCTTGCTTGCTCGCACTATTGGCGTTTAAATTGGCCACTATTAAAGGGTTGTAGTATGGCACTGTTCATAGAAATTTTATTGTTTTGAATGCTTGTTGGAGAATGTCAGATTTTTAAATACGAGAATCGGGTAAGGGAGATACAATCGTTCGTAAGCAGAAAGCCCATGACGCAATGAGGTCAAAAGAGGGATAATTCGGCGGATCTATCACTCCGTCTTACCTAAAACCCCCAAAAGCTGGTTGTCTATTGACTGCAATGAGCGACTTCTCGCCTGCACGTGCAAATCACACGATCTGAAATTCTATGAGGTTATGCAATTTTGTTAATAATGGATTGAGACACTTGTCATGAATCGGGCAAATAAGTACCTATCTGTGAAAGGAGCTATCTAATTGCAACTGTTGACCTTCATTTTTACAATGTTGCCCTGAAAGCTTTATAGCTAGTAAGACTGACAGTCTCCCGGCAGATTATTCCAAAGACGAGCTCCCCGGTTATGAAGCATATTTCCAGCCCATTCTGAGTTTGTCCAATAAACTTTGAATGTATCTTTTTCATTTGCATGTATCATAATAGTGTTTCCTTTTGTTTGAGATAAAGGTAAACAAAGTCAATTGGAGAGGACTCGATACATGAAGCAAACTATTTTAAAATCAAATGGGTTAAACAGTTCACAAATGTTTGCTTTCTGATGTAACTTGGAAATATGATATCTACGGTTTTTGAAATAAGGACCTTGAACAGGGGCGTAGTGAGGGGGAGGCAAGATGGGGTAGACGCCCCCAATGGCAAATAATTTATTTGAAAAATATCATTTTCGGGTGTTCTAAAGGGTTTGGACCCCTAATTTTCCCTAGCTCAACTCGCTTTGCCCCCCTCCCCCCCCCAATCTTACCATCCTCGCAACGCCACTCATCTTGAGAATACGATTTTGCATTCATTTCACTTAAAGGCGAGAACTCAATTTAAAAAAGAGCTAAAATTTCATAGAGGATAAAGAAGCAGTCTTTTGGTAAGAAGAAAAGGAAGTTTAGAGAAAGCTCGACTGTTTTTTAACTGTTAATTATTGAGTTTGTTAATATGATCCCTCCAATTCAGAATTTTCTCAATCGAAACCCCAATGAGCTTTATAATTTCCACTTGTTGCAATGGCTAAGCCAAAGTAAGGGGAGCAAATCTAATTAACAAAAGAAGTTTTGCTGATGTTTAGCAAATGATCTTTCAAATATTCTGAAAAGTATCTGCACAATCGGCTACCATAGTGACCTTCTTCGTTGCTCTAATTTGCAACAACCCACGATTCGATTAAACTGATTTTTTTGTTATAGCCCCCCAATGTTGACCATGATGATTATCAGGGAAACTATGGTGAGCCTGGTCACAATGAAAAAGAACAAAATTTTGCTAATGATCAAGAAAACGACATCAAATCTCCACAAGACAATCACATGTCACTAGCATTTCATTTAAACTACCATTCTGCTGAATACACAGCTCCCTGTGATTTTTTTCCACCTTCCGAATATGAGGTACAAACAGTAAACAGATGGTCAAACCATACTGACACTGAAACTTCAAATCATACGCCTAATGTCCAAGAAGAAGTGAAGAAGGAAGAGACAGTTGAGGAAGTAGAGTTAGATCCTGAGCAGGCAGCTCGTCTACGATGGGAGCTTGGCAACATTGATTTCACAGGGGAAGACAGCTTTAATAACATTGAATTGTATCTCAATTCACTCCTCCAAAAAATGGAAAAGTCTTTGAATACAGTAGATGGCAGTTCAAATGAATCAAGGATAGCTGACAATGAAAAACTATCGAATGTATATAGGGATCCAGTTAGTCCGGAGTATTCAAGGGCTAGTGGGGAAACATCCCCTGTGCTGTCACTGACGGATTCGGCCTACTCTGAATTAGTTGCACAGAAACCGGAGAAAATTTCAAGAGCCACGCAGACAAGCTATGCCTGTATTTCCAAGGCAGTGCAAACAGAAATACAGGTTGAATTAGATGATGCTGCTGAAATTTCCAATTGACAATGGCTAGTTAAATCTGTTTTGTTTGCAGTGTTCATCACTGTTCGCTTTAGAATTAGAAAATATTTCTCTAAAGAATTATCTAGTTTACCAATTTTACTTAAATCCAAAGGGTGAGATATTTTCCTTACGATAGCTGCCATTTCGACAAATAGATAAAAGCAATGGTCCAGTTGGATCATAGCTCAATTTCTTCTAGGAATCATAGAGATAATATGTTTGTATTTTTATGTGGTCCTCGACTGTACCCATTGTGGTCACAAATAGATATAGGAATAAACCCTTTCAGTGTTTCTATCTAATTTAGTGTGTTCATAAATGCTAAAACTCGAGGAAAACTTTTCCTGTTGTTGGAAATGATCACATGAATATTTCAAAATTAAGAAAGATCTCTTTGTAGACTTTTCTATAAAATAAAGTTTGTCCATATAACGTATAGCAAATTTGTACAATATTCATTCAAAAACTGTAACACTTAACTAGGATTAGTACACTTCCAATGAATGTCAAATGAAAAAACGATGGCAAGATAAACAACTCTATGACCATCACAATCATCATCATAATCATGAATCATCACCAATCATCGCGGGTATCATAAAAGAATCCATTCACAAAAGAGCATCATAAAAGAATGATTGTGAATGATGCTTACAACAGGAGCCGTTATATGAACCATCAAATTTATTGGTATGGTAGCAGGGTTTCAAGCCGTCGTTTTTTCTTTGATTTTATGTAAGATAGTCATCGCAGAATTTAGTCATTATTTATTAATTGCTCCTCAATCAAAAAAGAAATGTTCTTAAGTTCTATTTAAGAGAACATTAAATTTATGTTTGCAACCATAATTACATATTCATCTCATCAGATATTGGTGTTCTCAATCATAATTAGTCTTTAAACTGAAAGTAACCACCAGAACTCTGTAATTAATTTTTTATGGTAGATGCAGCAAGGCTTAAAGTTCTTGTAAACATTTAGGGCACGCTTCGCAGAAAACTTTGCTTGTGCATATATTTGTGCTTAAAGTCCTTTATATATATAAATGTTTTTCATTAGATGCTAGTCAATTTTTGCTACAATGAAATATGACGTAGAAATTGCCACTTGTTTTCTTCGTTGGTCAGTTGTCAGACTTTCAGTATAATTTGAATGTCACTCCAGGAACAATTTTTTGATATGTGCTGTATCTGTCAAGCCAGTTTATAGCATTTTAAATTTTCCATCTTTTGTTGCTCACATAACTGCAGAATGTATCTTTCCTTTTTGCATTCAAGTTGTTAACAAAATGTAAAAATATCACAAAACTAACTTTTGAGTCCTTATCAGGAATATGCTGAGCTTGAATTATGAATCGGCACTGATTTGTTTTATTTGCAGAGTCGACAGATTATCTCTAGTATTTTTGTTTTCAAATCATTTCTTTAATTAAAGCAATTATTCAACATATGCTTGGCATTTCATAATGACGTAAGTTTGAAACATGAAGTAAGAGCAGTTATCTTTGTCTTTGTCTCAGTTGAGAACATTGTCATATTGCAAATTTTTCCCTTTAAGTGCCTGGTTGTCTGACTCAAACCCTTGACAGGAAATATGTTGAATTTGAAAAACCCTTTAAAGAAAATATGTCAATGAGAGCATTTTTATGCAATTATTGCAATCAACCAGTTGATAATGTTCAGTTGAAACTCAGCCAAGACTCGCAACCATACTACTTTAAAAACGTCAAGAAACTTATAACTTCGTGCTTGAGAATAAAACCAGGCATAAATGAATCGTCAAGCAGCGATAAAGGAGTGCACACAAATCATAACCTTTGCTAAATTGAAGATTATTGAGCAAATTCGCATTCTTGGGCTTTTCCAAATTTCCTTTTCGGAAATGTATTTCGAATAGCAGTATTAGGATGTATTATCTTGTCTTGTCTTGCTTTGTCTTGTCTTGCTTTGTCTTGTCTTGTCTTGCTTTGTCTTGTCTGTCTTGTCTTGTCTTGTCTTGTCTTGTCTTGTCTTGTCTTGTCTTGTCTTGTCTTGTCTTGTCTTGTCTTGTCTTGTCTTGTCTTGTCTTGTCTTGTCTTGTCTTGTCTTGTCTTGTCTTTTTGAGCATGGTACATTAGCCAGTCATTGTACAGTCAACACCCACTTATCGTGAAAGAACTCTTCACTTTTCAAAGTCTGTAGGTGGGAATTTGTTATCAGACCCTCAACGAACAAGAACTTAGCAAGACTGAAAATTGGAATAGATTTTTATTTGCAAGTCAACCGCACCTATTTGACTGGCAGGGTAGTGTTTGCACCAATGTTTGTGTGAATTATAAACAGAACATTAAATTGCGTAGTCATAGGTTACCAGAAAGGTTAATCGAGAAAAATTAAGCTGAAAATGTCAATGTTTTCTCATTCATTGCTCAGGTTCCCCTCTTAAGATCATTATGGAGCAAAGCAAGCAAGATTCAATGTTCTATCATTATATTGAAGCTCTAAAAAACGTGTAGACATTGTGTTTAGAGGCTATTATATGCAGATGTTGTCTTTATCGTCATCCTTAGTATCAATTGTAGGTTTCTTGACTTGATGCCAGCGAAGGTAGAGAGGGAAAAGAGTTTTGTTAAATCTGTTTAGATTCACCCTTCTTCTTTTCCGTCCCTAAAAACTTAGGAAACATGGGAAAGAACATTGGCTCCGACGCAGGTTGGGAAGTGGGGGGGGGGGGCAAAGGGAGATTTTAACCATCAGAGCAAAAGACTTTTTATAAAGCTCTATTGTTTTGAAAAAGGTGGAGGGACATGCTACCCCCCTCCTCCTCCCTCCTCCCCTCCCCCCTCCCCCCTCTTCGTCGGAGGCCCTGAAGAATCACAGTCGACACCTCTTTCGCTAAAACTGAAATCGAAAAGAACGGCACGGAGGCGCTTTTGTAACCTCCGGGTACAGGGAACTGGCAGTTGTTGACTTGAAACTGTTCTTTTCTGCGTGGCGATCTCCGGGCAAAGGGCGGGAATTACAAGCCCTCGTGAATGAGAATGGAGGCCCAAAATAAAGTGCCTGGTAAGAACATCTGTCATTTTCACCTTTCTAACTACTTATTGTTACTTTGCTTCTTCGTTATAGACCCTCAAGATTTGGCATACGTAATGCAGAAGCTGTTTCTTTTATTTGTTGTAATTGCCTAAATGCCACCGCCATTAGCCGGGAATAAGCAGGAGGCCTAGTGGTATTGCAGGTTGTTTGCAAACATGAACGAGATGGCAACTTTTGATTCGTGTTTGTGCAATTTGAGTATTTTAGTTAACACTTTAGTGTTTTATTCTTATATTAAGCTCACACAAAGCCATATTCTGCGAAATTGTTATTCCAAACAACATCACGGATCGAAAAATAATTCCGTCCCAATCAACGTTATTGCGGGAGGGGGGAGGGGGGTGGGGCTTATCAAGTTTTTGTTTAGCAATGTGTCTTACCGGCTATTCCACTCCTGTTTGCATGTTTTCATTTTATATTTCTTGAGTAGCAAATTTTATAGAAAGCCGTTCATATAGCTATTCTCATCATCAGATAATAGATGCATCTGTCATTTGAGTCGGACTCTGAAAGAGTTGCTATAATCAATAAAAACAAATGTTATTTAAGAAAAATGCAAAAATCTATGGTGTACAGTTTAAACAGATTTCAAACTGTTTTTTTTTCGTTTCTGTATATATTTAAAAATACAATAATCCTTTACAGGGCCTCCGACGAAGGGGGGGCAGAGGGCCTTGGTCCCCCACTTTTTTGCAAAACAATTGTTATCAAACACTTTCAAAATCTTATGTTATGGGTATTAACTTTTCCTTTGCCCTCCCCCCCAACATTTCAACCTGTGTCGAAGCCAATGCTTTATGTGTAGATTTCCCTTTGCATTGGATGCTACATTCACTGGGGCTATTACAGTTTCGCATCTATCAGCATGTGGTTCCATACATAAGGATAGGGTTTGGGTAAGGATCAGTGTCCAAGAGGTGCAAAACTGCATTAGCACCCATTCACCTGCAAGTATTCACTGCAGTTTTTCTTATTTTTTTTTCATCCACAGTGATTGATGAGGCATTTGTAAGTTTTATTTCTGATGATGCTTATGGCTCAGGTGCCATTACCTTGGGAACATCACTGAAAAACTCCAGAACTACAAGGAAAACTGTCCTTCTGGTTACTGATGGTGTCAGCAATGATGTCAGGTATTTATGATTTTTGTTACATTCTAGATTGAATAGCAAACTCCTTCCAGTTGTTTCTACTGGTTTCAGTGATCTGAAATTGCAGCCTATACATTCTTACTAAGCATTCTTTGTCATAAAGATATTTTCATGTATGTTGTAAATCACACATGTAATAAACTTGATGCTGGCAGTTCATGCTCTTACCCAGGGCCCCCAACAACAAGTAGCCAAGGGGGTCATGCCCTCCTCCCCACATTTTTGCAAAACAAGAGATATAATTACAAAATCTTGTGGATTGCGCTTAGTTTTGGGAACTTTACCGCAGGTACCAATCATCGGAATCATTGTCATCCAATCTTTAAAATGATAATTTTCTAGCAGTTTGTTTAAGTTGAGGGTGGTATACACTATCATTAGCAGTTCATTTTGTTGCCTTTACTTGTTTCTATCACAATAAAACTCAAAAATCGAAAATGAAAAGAACAAAAATGAAATTAATTTTGTGAAATATCATAATCAATATGGGCAGAAGGGGAATGCAGAATCTTTTAGGGCTGATGCAAAACTGCCTTTTTATCAAAGGAATTTGAAGGAAGAAATTGTAAACAGTCACAAACATATTGCCTGAAACAGACGTGAAGGGATTACCATCCTAGAAAAACCAGATATAAGAACCCTAGGGATATGACTTAACACCGACTTTAGTTTTTGATCCATCTCACACATTTAGCAAAAAAATTTATTCAAGAATGAAAAATTGTTGCAAACTTCCAGATTAATTTTTCAAAATTTTTCTTCTAACTGACGAAAAAGACACAAATTTTTACAGACAAAGATTATCTGTGTTGGAATTTTAAATGCAAAATTTGTTGATGACAATGACAGTATTATTAAAAATTACCTTCTATGGTGCTTTTATTGACTTCAAGCCACTAGGTATTGATTTTGAGATTGGAAATTTTGGTATGTTATATTTCCTCGAAAAAGCCTCCCTCAAATAAGCCCCCACCCTAGAACTACAAATTGTTAATGAGCCCCCCTCCAATAAGCCCCCACTGCTACCGTAAATCCTTGAATTGGCCCTCCTTGATTTGTTGATTTTTGCCATCTGAGGTTGCCTTTGGCATTTTATTGAATTACCACAAAAATTTATACTTTTGGTAATAATTAATTAAATGTTCATAAAGATATTCCTACTAAAATATACAAGGTTTTTTATTGATGCCTTCTTAATGTCTACTATAATTTTTTGAGCATTAATAAATGCCCCCTCGTAATTTAGTAAAGTTTGCTGAGTAAAGCTGAATATTTGAGCTGAGTAAAGTTTCTTAGGCCTCTTGCTAGGTTAGATTGCAAGAAATTTAATAAAAAGGTCAAATAAGTTGAGTGATTTGAAATCAAAAGCTCAATATAAGTATACACTTTTTATACCATCTTATCATTAACTGTCTGTGGTGAATCTTAGAGACAGACTTTCAAGAATATGGGATGAGCTGGTAGACATCGAGCCACTCTTTACAACCAGTGAAGAAAATCTTGCCTTGACAAGGCGGCCAGAACTTGGTGTGACAATCACAAAATTAAAAATTTGGACTTTAACCCAGTTTAAAAAGTGTGTCTTCATGGATGCTGATACACTTGTTCTTCAAAATATTGATGACTTGTTTGAAAGAGAGGAACTTTCAGCAGCTCCAGATATTGGCTGGCCTGACTGCTTCAACAGTGGTGTCTTTGTTTTTGTTCCATCCTTAGAGACTTATGCTGCCCTCATAACATTTGCTGATGAGCATGGTAGCTTTGATGGTAAGACTTATTTTGTAATGAAAGATATTTATTTTGACAATGTTGTTCCATTACAAATAAGGCCAAAGTGTATTACATGGCAACCTTTTGCCTATATACAAAACTTGGAGGTTCCAATAGGCATTAATATGATGCTAAAATCATTTTTGCCCAATGCTTGTAGCCAGAAGTGATTTCCAAGTCAACCATACCAGGCTTTTATCTTTTGTTCTAAGGATATTCAACCTTATTCCAATGCAAGTGGTATTTTTTTTATCGAAGTCAATGCATTTTTACTATTCTTTAAAAATGAAACATTGTGTATAAAAATTATAAAAATATCAAATGAAAACGAATTGTTACAAAGAACTCTAATGCACTCCAAAAAAGATAAAATACTGTATCTAATATAAATGTGCTTGAAAATGGCTTTGAAAAAAGCAAACATTTTACGACATACTAAAAGCTTTTTCGTCTGACACTCCTCAGAGCATAAAACGCCAGAATAAGGTTCCGAAAGAACACAATGGAAAATATATACCCAGTTGTGGATCGAAATAGTATAAATTTTATGTAGATGTTATTGCTGTATGATCCGTTATTGTCGTTCCAAACCATTAAATGTTCCAAGAGCCATTGTAGCTAAAATACTAAGTGCCCATATTATTCAAAATATTTGTGGTGGAATTGATTTTCAAATGCAGTTTTCCGTGGAGATGTAGTTAATTCAGCTTGCTTATATTTCCTGTGTTTTTATATACCGGCTTTGTATTGTCTGTATCACTTGCTTGGGTCACAAAAGATGACTGGCATATTCCTCACAATTTACCATTTTGTGCAAGCATTCAGAGGTTTCTGTAGTTGAATTTGCATGAGTGCTGATGCGATCGCGAGTGATCGCTCATGCCAAACGAAAAGGCCTGGTTTAAGGAGCCTAACTGGAACTACAGATTTTTAAGGACATATTTTTAAGAAAAACTTTTGAACAGCAGTTATATCAAGATATAATGTGATGTGTTGGTTTGAAGCTAAGGAATAGAATTTGACAAAGTCTAAGATTTCATATAAAGATTCATAAAGATTGGGTATAAAGATTTCATAGCATGACCTCTACAACTAAGAAGTAACATGTATAGCTGTGTCCATATGTTATGTAGCATCTATACCAGACCATTTAATGGCAAATATTGCTAGCTTTACCTTTTTCTCAACTTTTACAACTTTTTCATTAATCTTGGCATGGTTTATCTGTTTGGAAGTCAAAATTGATAACTTTTGCAGAAGTTGTTCTGTGTTCCTTTGTTCAACAGAATCTTTGCTTATCTTAATATTGACAATGTGTAATGATATTTTAAGGTTTTCTCATTTTGTTGTATTTACATCAGAAAACCTCATAACATTTCTGACATTTAAGCCGTAACATAGTATTTTTTTTCTAGGGGGTGACCAAGGCTTACTGAACATGTATTTTAAAGACTGGGCAACCAAAGATATATCTCACCGCCTTCCTTTCTTGTACAACATGGTGTCAAATGTTTGTTACAGTTATGCCCCAGCATACAAGCAGTAAGTTTCTAACTGATGAAGGGAATGAAGAAAAAGAATGCTGAAGTAGCATGTTTCTTTCCATGTTTACATAAGCAAGGGTGGTTTTTTGGGCCAGTCATTGTGTTAAGTTTCATTTTTCAGCTACTAGCCAAAATACCGAAAGAGCAATACAATTTTATATGATATTTGACAAATTTAAATTTTGGACTGAATTACTCAAAGTAGATTGAATGTGGATAATAGGATGGCAAAAAAGATATAGAATGGATAATAGCATAATGTTTTTGTAATTTAGTGGATGGCAGGAAATTTGTTAACATACAAAAGACTTTAAAAAATTGATTAGCTAAAGGACTTAAGGATAAAGGAAGACAGCCATCAATAATATGGTAATTCTTAATCCTTCCAATGGCTCTTTCAACATGAATACGGACTGCAGCTATGTTGGCAGTTTCTTCAGTTTCTTTTGGTGTTAGTTGGGCACGAAAGTGGTGCTTTTACTTGCTCACTTGAAATGTTCCTTGCTTGAGGAAGTCTGTCTCCAACGGTTATTGCTGAGTGTAAATTAATAAAAGCATGGCTAGCAGTAGATTATGTTAAACTGAGTATAGAATAAGATAAATAGCCAAGTCAAGTTGATTGACAATGAATTTTTAGGAGTAAAAATGTTTTAATTTCTGAAGAAATTTTGCTTTCTTTCAGGTTTGGCAAGGATGCCAAGGTTGTTCATTTTCTTGGTGCCATAAAGCCATGGCATCATTTCTATGACTCTGAAACATCACAAGTCCAAATACAACAACATGGTGTCAGTGATCTAGGGGTGCAATCTTTTATCCAACTATGGTGGGATGTTTACAATAATTCTGTCGCACTTCAAGATGCAGAGGCTTCAATATCTCAAGTAAGTGTAAACTACTTTGTGGCTATTTTGGTAGAAAGTGATACAGGGAGGGTTTACGGTATGAGTAACCTCCCTGTGCTCACAGACTGCAAGGATAGACCAAAATATTCCCATTTCCCCAAGTTGATTGAAATGTTTGCCTATTGGTATTATGTACTTATTAAGCTAGAAAATGTTGATGTGCTGATTGAGCCATTTATAAGATACAGTCAGACTATAGTAGGGTGCCTGCCTACAGCAAAGGTCCTGAAAGTAGCAACGTTCGCTGGAACATTTAAGTTATTACATTGAACTGCACTGAAGTAAGAAAATCAAGCGCATTGAGCTACACTAAAGGCCTGCTTATTTAGTCTTCGTTAGCATCCATAGCAGTTGATAACTGACATTTCAATGCTTTTCTACACCAAAATATTATTATGATTAAAACGTCTACTTAACACGTAGGTAGAAAACACGTCCTTTTCCTGGGCTCCAACGCCGGTTGGAAAGGAGGGGGCAATGAAAAATTTAACACCTATAATAAAAGATTTTAAAATAATCTCTATTGTTTTGCAAAGAAAATGGGGGCGCATGGCTGCGTCTAACAGAGCTTGTTCACTTTTTCATTGTTTCATTCTCTTTTTGGCTTAAGTTGTGCGAAATATAAAGAACTGCCTATTAAAATTGAAACATTCTTATTGCGAATCATTCAAAGAATCAAAAATGAATTGCTTAGTTTAATATAATCATACTCGCAAAGGTAACCCATTTGAAATCACTGCTCCGTCTTTGGAAAGCCATGGTAAGTGGCTGGACAGAACCTCAGTTACATTCTTTATATTTACATATTTTATCGTTTTAAAGTCATGTTGCTCATTCTGTTGCATTTGCAAGTATCCCGAGCTGTTGAGGCTCTTTTTCTCCAGCTCTGATTGCAATATGAACTAAGGTATCAAAAGTATTGCACCACCTTGCTCAAAATGGCGGCACTTCTTGTCAACTTTTGACAATGCAAAACATTTTAATGCGTTAATTGGGTGAAATAGGCGCATTTAAAAGTAAACTTTGGCGGGAAAAGTTCGCAAATTTTGCCGACGCCATAGAAAACTTAGTTAGAAATGTATAAATTGCGCAAAGACATTTTTATCTGTAAGAATGTAGACCATACCCGAGGAAACAAAATTGTCAAATGTCGCTATAAAATATTTACGAGGAAGTGGTAATTAATTTAAACAAATATGTTGACCAAGTTAGGTGCAGCTACACAACAGCTGTGGGAAATCCAAAAAAAAGTTTGGAGAGTGTTACAGTAGTAAAAAAACCGAGAAGTGGGTGACAACAAATGTTGATGTTAGAGGGAAAGAATTTGTCTGTTTTATTTCGCTGCGTTTACACCAAGGGACAGTAAAAAGCATGAAACTCGACACTGCGCAAGGTTTTGCAGCTCAAAATCCGTCCACAGAAAATATAATGAATGTTTTGCACAAATACAAAAGAAAAAGTTACCTAAATAAATGGAAGCTATTTTTATAAAGATTTATTTCCATTAGAAAGAAATTAAAGCTTTGGCATAGCCAGAATCAAGTCCAATTTTTAACATCATCAAAAAAGTTTGACTTTAAATGAGAAACGTTAGAAACCATGCTCCAAATGGTTGTCCAAAAGCCAGAGAATCATTAATGATAAGAATTTTCCAGGCCTAATACGAAATTCCACAAGAATACGTTGCCCAATTTTATGGATCCATTTCAAGGAGGCTTTTTGCAGTTTCAAAAGTTTGCGGCCACCCGTCAAAATATTGATATTTTAAAATGTTAAAAGATGTTTGCTAGTGTTATTTTTCAAACAAATGCTCTAAATAGATTGAAGTTTTGATTGGTAGTTGTTTTGCTTTCGACCAGTTGCCATTTGCCACTTAAAAACAGACTTAATTTGCATAACAATAGCTTTCGATCATTCATGCGCCATTTCTCCTCCTTCAAGGTGGTTCAATACTTTTGATACCATAGTGTATGTATTCTATTTATTTGCCTATTTATCTGATCTAAAATATTTCTTTCTAGGATTCATCTGCCCAGGCCATCGTCAACATGCCCATTGTATCGAATGCCATGTCTGAAATAGAGCGCAAAGCATCATGGGAGCGTGGCTTGATCGATTTTACTGGAGAGGACAAATTTGAAAACATTAAAGATAGACTAGATGACGTTATTAATGGTTCTGGAACGCACTAAAGCCAATGATTTATCTCTAATTTCACAAATACACGACACTGCAGTTTCCATGGAATTCATACAACGTGCTTAGATTTAATATTTTGTAGACTTTTTCTAAAATTGTCACAGTACGAAGTTGTATCTGTCTATGTTGTTGTGTTTTCTTATTTTAGTGTGCTAGAGCAGCCTTAGCATTCAGTTGAATTGGTAATAGTCTCTCCAGAGGGATTGAGTCAAGCAGTTTCGAAAATCAAAGTCCACTTGCCCGTATATATTTTATAGCGACTCGACTCTCATTTGACATTTTTTCTCCTTTAGGCATGTTCTATATTTCTACAAACACAAACTTTTCTGCATAATTTATACGTTTCAATTTGTGTTCTCTATAGCGTCAGCAAGATTTTCAAGAATTTCCCGCCAAAATTTGCTACAAAGTGCCTTTTTCATCCAATACTGTCCAATGTATTGTATTCAAATGCTCGGTATGGCTGAAAAAATGACAAGAAATGCCACCATTTTGAAAATCCTAAAAATGTGGTTAAAAGTTGAAATAACACTTCAACTTTTAAATCACAACTATCAAAACATCGGATTCTTACAATTTTCCTATAAATAATAGCAAAATCTGCAATGTACGGCCTAAAAACGGCCAACCGTTTTTTTAGAGATATCAAAACGAATTCAATTTTTCAGATTCACATTTGCATAACAGAAATTTACAAGGAAAATTACACTACAGTATTGAGTCTAATCAAAGAAAACGTTACAATTTCATGAATTTACTGAATTTACTTAAGCTACTTTTAAAACTGCATAAAACTAAAGGAAAAGCCACAGTACTCGTCGACGACAATAAATTTTTTCTTACAAAGCTGGCAAGTTTGTATTTCTTATGATTTTTATAGCCACGTTTTTGCTTATGTTCCTCAATTTAGCTTTTTTACACGAAAATATAATGTCTCGTGAGGATTTTACTTCACAGTTCCCTCACAAAGGAACTTCCGTCTCTCGGGGTCGTAAACTTCTACGGTCTGCCAACCCTTAGTAAATTTTTTGCTTTTCTTGTACATATAGAAAAACTTTTTACACCACAAAAGCTGGACTCATTGAGCGGTCAACAAGTGATGCAATTTCACGGAATCCATTTGCGTTATTTAAACAAAAAGCAATTTGCAAGCGCTTCTCATAACTCAGTTTTTGATTTTTAAGAACTCCCATCCTTACGTCGCAAGGCCTATAGCTACGTAGAAACTTTATGGTTTATTTTCTGTGAACTTTCTGGCGTACATAGAAGGCATCGAAACATCAACAATGTCTTGTAAAAAATTCATAGAAATAGCTATCGTACTTTTTGAATAAAAAGCATATTAGAAAGTCTTTCCAAATTTGTTGCATAAAATTTCGAGAAATTTCGAGAAAGAATTTTATTTGTAGAGGATTTTGGCGGAAATTATCCTTCTTACCTAGTTGCAAGGTTTAGTCAGTAACGCGAAAGGTACCGAGGAGTCCCCTTTGTCAACGTTTTAGTCCTTTTTGGCATTTCCCATTTGTTTTTACTTCAATCTAGATATAATCTGTCAACATTAATCATGGCGGATGCACGTAATTTTGGTTTTGTGCCTAATTGGTTGCCATAGAAACTCCGCGTTTATAAAATCTTATCTAAGAGAGGCTACATAATGGCTATCGATGTTTGGACTTACATAGAAAGAGCAACACACAGGCAAGGAAACTGTGTGGCATCTGCTTCCAAAGATAGTCTGGCTGAGGAAATACTTTTCTCTATGAAATCAAATTACGTTATTAATTGAAATAGAAAGTGATAATACATGCATGAATATAAAAAGATTTTGCTGTGATTTCGGGATGATTAATGGACTAAAAGCCAATGATGTCAGAAGAAGAAAGTAAGGCTTTACTTTGCTCCGCATCAACACAAACTACTTGGAGTTGGCTGGAAGACTTAAAAAGCATTGGTAGAGATTCTGTTCCGACACAGAATCTTATTGAAAACAATGATACTGTTAAAATTGACACCGATGACCATTCGATCTCAAATGCTTCTTTGCCTGAAGATTCTGTCAGCGTAAGCTCTACCAAAAATGAACCTATAGATGCTGCAAATGATTCCGGAGACAGATCTGAAATAGATGAGAGCTTCCATCCGGATAAAAACCCAACACCAGCGCAGATTTTGGATGGATTTTGGTCAGGGAGCGACAGTGAATCAACCGAGCTCGACACTGATTACGAAACTGATTCTCCTTTTCCCGGCGTGGGACCGCCTCAAATGTTAAAGCTTCTCAGAAAAGAAAAATATTCTGATCATGAAACTTCTAACGATGGATCACAAAGGCATTCTTATGGCATCGAAAAGGGCTTTCACAAAAGTTTTTTCAGCGGACCTTGTCAATTTTGTGGTGAGGGAGTGCTTCCGTTACCTACGGTGCAAGAAATAGAAACATTGCCAAATAACCAAGTAAGAAAATTTACTTTGATTTTTTAATTTAGAAAAAACTTAAAATATACCGATCAGTTTCTTACTATCAACATTTCGGCTCGAAAAAATGGTGGTTAAAAATATTTCTAAAGACAGTCGACAAGAAAGATAATTTCGCAATAGAGAAGATGATGTTTATCTTTTCTGAATTCAAGAAGTTTCTTAAGTAAAATTTCTTTCAAAAGTAAACTCTTTGCAGTTGGTATCTAGTGTGGAAAACTATGTTTTTGCCAAGTAGCAGGTAACTGTTTTTTTTCTGAAATAGCTGTTCTGCTGCAGTGAATATGAAGAATTTGTGAAACTGTATATAACCTATGTTGACAAAAAGAAAGTTGAAGATGAGGTGATTGACATAAAGCCACATGCACCATATGGCACAAAAGCAGCACGGAAAGCAGCCAAAGAAAGAGCTGCTGAAAGGTTAGCAAAATAATTTATGTCTTCTCTGTTTCTAAGAAAGGATTTTAATGGCACAACAGTGGTGCAAATAAAATTAAGAAGACAGTGGGGGGTGTAGAGGGTGTGACACCCCCCAATTCTTCATGAGCTTGTTGGTAAACTTATAGCTGGTGCAAAAATTCCCTGGTTTTTTGCTAAAATCATCTATTGATAAGTGAAATAGCACCTAAATTTTTGCTTTATCTGTGTCTTTGTCAGTAAATTTTACTAGTAATGACCTTCCCCCTCCTCTAGTCTGGAAGGTCAAGCTACGTCACCTTCTCTTGCTGCATCCAGAAACAAAAGTGCATATTCTTGCTTTAAACACATTGCTGGATAATTTTTTTAAAAATATTTAACTCCTACTTACTTTAAGTAACTTCAAGATGTTTTACATCTGAGGAGTGTTGGGTGGAAATTTGTTAGTAATATGTAATGTCTCACTTGTATGTCAATGTCTCACAAGTGTCATTTTTGGATTTAAGAAGGAATGCTGAGGGCTTATTTTGTTAAAAAAGCATTTAAAACAGTTAACTAATGATACTGCTACATTTAATAAATAATAATCTTGATTGCTGAAGTTCTTTTTGAAGGATGAGGGAAAAAGAAATGGAGAAACAGAAAGCTGTAACTGCTCAAGCTAATTTCTTTTCCTGTAAGTCATGATAAACTATATATATATATTTATATGCCAGCAATCAATACAAGTATCAGATAAGATATCATTTTAAGATCAAATGGCAATTTAATTAATGGATACTTGTGGTAGATGATTAGTTATTTGATATTTTAGCTCCTACCTTAAAAGTACTTTAAATTCAATTCCACATAGAAGTGGTAGAGCTATTGGAAGAGGTTGCAATTGTTAAAGAAAAAAGGACAAAAGGGATTGTTCATCAAAAACAAATGCACAGGCTCTCCCAAGCAAGGGGGCAGCAAGAGGGGGCATGACCCCCTAATATTCTAGAGGGCCCACAAACCAAAATGTTTGCAGACTGTACTGAGTTTGAAAATGTGCACATGTTGCCTCTTAACCCTCATTCCCATGACAATGTTTGTTTGTACATGTTTATGCATAACCTCTGTGTGTTATTTCACATATTAGTCATTGCTATATGTTGGTAAAAAAGATTTATGCCCCCTCCATGTCAAAGTCCTAGCTACCCACCATGCCCCCAAGTACAATTGTATCTAGACCCTGTAATTGAGATTTCACATTTTATAATATCACAGAGTCAAAACCTTCTTTCTAGGAAGTTATTTAAACTGACTTTGTCCATTCATTTTTTATCCTTGTTAACAAAGTTTCCCTTTTCAGTTAATCCAATATTATGTAAATTCATTTTCTGTTTGATGATTGAAAATAACTATAAAGACAGTATCAGGGAATATGGATGGGATGTGTGAAGCTTCACTACTTCTGTGAAGCTAGAAAATGCTACTTTGCTTGCTTTTTCAAAATTAAAGCACATAACAAAAGTCTTATTATATTGGTCTGCTCTTGTACTCAGCTCTATCCAACTGCCTTTTAGTTCAAGCAGGACTATTTTTGTATTTTCTTTAAAATATTCATTTCACCACAAGAAATTTTCAGCCAGAAAATACCAGGAGAATCATATTTTCTGTCAAAGCCTTAAGCTTGCTACCTACAGTTGTGACCACTGACCTAGTGTGACTCCACATCATAGAAATTTTTTAAGCATTTGGTTGTCAAAAGGGGGAAATTCAACCAGTCACTGAACTTCAACAGTAGAATTACTTATTAGAAGTAATAAATATTTGATTTCCCCGCTTTGCTCTTGATAAAGTTTTCATCTTGAAATAAAAATATCTTCATATCATGTCATCAGTTCTTCCAGAGAAGGGTTTGTATTTTCTCTTGTAAAATACATGGCTGTGTGTCTTTTACTTTTATTCAAACTTTTTTGTCTATTTTGAGCTGCTAATTGGCTTCTAGTTTCTGTGTGTTAAGTAACAGGTAAAGTGCTCCACCAAAAAGGTTATTGTGTAATCTCTAGTGTTTTGAGTTAAGACTACTGTTTGTTAGACGGACGTTTGTGAAACTGCGACATGACTAGTCACCCTTCATGACAATTTGATCCCTTGCTCCCTTTCGTGCTGTTCTTTTGTTCCATAACTTGAAGCTTTGCATTGTAACTATTCTAGCAAGGTAGGTGCAACTCATATTTTGCATTTGTTGTACCAGTCTACTGATTTCGCATCAAAACCTGTTGTGATGGCTAGGAAATATTCTCTCAGTATTTTAGATGGAATTCATAGAGTGAATATTTCACTTTTTTCACTTCCCTATTTTGATCTAAATTATGCATTACCAGGAAAGTTTTTTGCAAAATTATAAGTCCTGGAAAGAAACGCATGATAAACAGGCAGATTATCAACAAGGTAGACGGTAGCTGAAAAGTTGATTCCCTTTTCAACTCAATTTTGTTTTTCTTTCGTTTAGTTGCAAGGCAGGTTAAAACGATACAGTATGCATTATCATCGGTGAAATGTATGCAAGACGGTTGGACTGTACGACCAAAAACCCCACCTGTTCAGCCTCTGCGGCGCGAGGACGACGAATTCTCCATCGACGTCAACACATCACTTCTACAAGTAAGCCGATTCACAATCAAAAGTAGCATATATGATGAAAGATACATTTTGATGGTTTATTTCTGTGCGCAATTCATTGAATTGTGGCGTAGCCTTAACCTCGTGTTTTCCAAAAAACCGAATCCCTTTACAACCAAAATAAAATTTTCTTTCAAATCCGACTTCGAGGATTTTACCAGCTTAGAATAAAATCCTGACTTCGGCATTTGGTACTATAACATACCTCTTTTCGCAACCACATCTATTATATGTCATAATACTTCAGTGATTCTCAGCTGTGAATGTTATGTCATAGCCTTAAACGCTGCACCACCCTAACACCTTGATATGATAACGTTTATCGCGGACTTTCAGAAGGATAAAAACTTAGCTATTTCTTTAGAAACGGCCAACAGTTTTGATGTCCGCTGAAATTTTTCTAATCTTGTGTAGAATCCGCCGTGTCCAGATTAAAAAATCAAGCTATTTGTATGTTCTATATGTTAGTAGCTACACACAAAATGTCAAATTCTAGCATAGAATTTATGTTGGTAGCTACACATAAGTTATCAAATTCTAGCATAGAATTTCAGCAACCTTTTTCCCTTTTGATGCCTAGCTCTGCATTCTATTCTCTTTTGACGCATACAAATTTTTGCTGGTATTGTTTTTAAAGTTCAAGGCACCGTAGTTTTATTTTCTGTATATTCAATTTTACTTTCCAGTTAGGTTTTAATTTCTATTACTTCATCAAAAAGCATTCGGGACTTTCTTCATTTTTTAGAAACGGAACGAGCTTTATGAAAAGTTTTATGAAAATGGTAAACGATTTCTCATTGTTTTTCCTGATGGAACTGGATCTTGCTAGTATCCTTTTCTCTCATATATTTTATTTGATTAGATTAAGTAAGTGCGATTGTTTCGGTCCATAGCTGATTTAGGTAGAAATAATTAATCGGTAACACAAATATGATATGTTGCTTGTGCCTGTTTGCTCGAATATGTTTTCTAGCAGGTCCACACCCTTAAATAGGCTCAGTCACCAATTATCTTATTTATTATTGCAGTCTTGCTCGTTAACTTGCTTTAAAAGCTATGTTATCTGTATATCAGCATTATCTTTCTATAAACATCAGCTTGTGAAACAAGCATTTGTATATGCTTTCCATGTAACACAGCCTTTAATTGTGCATTTGCTTGTCTTAGCTGTCATTTTCTCCACAAAAGCAAAAAAATCTTGGACAATCAAAAAACTCCAACTATAGATACTTTGGACAGACAGTAAGCCAGAAAGGTTTTGCAGCAGGCTGCTTCCCCTGACAAGCCTCTGATACATCATACTAAGGGACAAGATACACCATTGATACATCATGCTAAAAACATGATAGTTCCCAAAGCTTAGTTTTTCAGCACAGCATACTTGCTATCATTTACTATCCATAACTAGCAGTTACTTTTTTATGTTAATAACCCACCCTTTCTCCGTGGATCACAAGGTTATGTAAAGGCGTGATATAGTAAGTTGCTGCAACGAATAACAGACGCGTGAAACAGATGTTGGATTTTTCCCCAGACTTCTTCTGTTGCAAATGCTAGTTAAGATTCTTTATTAACCTCCAATCAACAAGGATCCGTATGCACCAGTATCTTAGAAAATTCGCAAACTTCAGTCTTATTTGAATTTTGTTTATGCTGTTAAGTAAAAATAAAATCTTGTCAGGAAAGCTAATCATTTAGCCACCTTTGCTTGGTGGAATGTTTTCAACTCATATTCATAAGCTTGTTATTTCAAACTTAAACGATTTCTTAGTTATCCAAGTGGAAATGTTGCTGTGATTATTACGTCATGTGAACTGGGGAAATACACATACATTTTGCAAAAGGTAAGATATGAATGTAAACTCTGTGGTTAGCTAAAACGAATACAAAAGAAGCGTTGTCTAATAGCCTGATTGATTCGTGTTACTAAAAAGTTTATTTTTAGGTGGTCTGAATCGCTTATTGGCAATGCCGTTTTGCTGAAGCCCTGTTTCACTTGCATGATTTGGTTTGATTTTAGTGATTTAGTTTGATTGTGTGATTTATTAAATCACAGGATACAGATGATTATGACACCGAAGACCCAGGTGTTCTTGGTGTTTTTGAACCAAAAGGAAATGCAAGTTGCTACTTTAAAGACAGTTCTTTGAGGTAAGCCTGTATCATTTAAAATTAATGGTACATCTCTGTATCCATGCTTGAAGCTATCATTAAATCGAACCAGTGCATGAGCGATAAACACCACAAGAATTAAAATGTTCTTTTGATATTGATTTTGGTGTCACTCAGTGAATGAATTAATTTACAACCATTATCCCAAATGATAGTGAAAATACAGTTGCAAAATTTTCTTATTGATGAAAGTCAGTTATAAACTTGAAAAAATTGGGCAAAATTTGTTGGCAAACAAAATGCGAAGAGCCACATTGAATGAGTGAATTGGGTGTGATAGTAGCTCGTTATAGTAACTTATTTTCATTTCTTTATCTATCTGTTTAAGCAATGATTGTTTTACGATATTTAACGGTAGGATGGTGCTGACTCCATACGGTGGTATGCAAGTGGATAAAGCAGGAAATTATAAGAAGAAATGGAACTGGTACTTCATCAAAGGCCATGTCCATACTCCCCCTTTCCAGCCGATTTGCTTCGCATTGAACAAACAACTATCGTGTCGTGTGATGGAACAGGTAAACTACATTATTTATCAGACATATATTATATTGGATAATGTAAACATTTCACAGCATACTGAAAGATTTTGGCTGCCATTCCTGAGAGTATAAAACGTCATAACAAGGGTCCAAAAGATGGAAAATTTATACCTAATTCTTAATCTAAAAAGTATGTTGTTGTTTTCTTCAAAGCCTTTTTGAAGAAAATGACTGAAAGAATGTTCATTCCCTCGCTAACATGTTACCATAACTTTTGTACCAAGTATTTCCCTGCACCAAGACACCAATCAAATAAGGCACCAAGTGTTTTTCTGCTTCAATTCAGCTAGGAAACAGTCATTTCAAGTCAACAAAAATTACCATTGTTCAGTGGTAGGCATTTACAAGTATTTGGCAAAAGAAAAATCAATATAGTATTCCCATTAAGTTAAGAAGATAACAAAATCATTGATTTACAATTTTATTGGCTAAACTGGAATCTGCAAAGAAGAATCCGAAGTCGAAAGATTTCAATGATATAAAACTACAAATTAATCAAGAAAATACAGATTTTGACACATCAACAGAAATGCATACAGCCGACTTTTTGAGGTGTCAGTTGTTTTCTTTTTTCACACTTAAACTGAAACTTTTGGATGGCCTACAGTCCGCCTTTATCTCATCACTGCTTTGCAATACGGTTCTTGGTGACAGTGACAGTTTTCAATCTATCTCCGGCCAAGAAAATCTTATTGTAAAACCTTCCTCATTTTAATGAGTTTAAGGTGAGAGTGATCAGAAAATGAGGACCACGACCAATATTGATCCTCTCCTGGTTACGCTGTCACCTAGAATCTGGTTACCTGGGTACTTATTCAAAACTTCCTAGAAATTTGTAAATTGTGTATGATTATAAATTGTCTTTATAAACCGATGTTAAGTAAAATGTTTATATCGATTATTAAAAAAAATCGTACGATTCAAGTATTTAAATTATAAAAGTTAATGCCTAAATTTTACAGTGCAAACTAGTTCTGCAAATATATTCATATCCAAAAACAGGAGGTTTTTGAAATTTAATTCTGATTTTTTCAATTTCTCAAGGCTGTATTTTGAAAATTAAAAGATTTTTCAATTTCCTTAAGTTTCCAAATTTTTGGCCAAATTTTCTCAATTTCTCTTTGCTTCTACAATCTTCTTCAGGCCAGTGGTCCTGGGGCCGTGATGTTTTCCTGACTCTACTCTACTGAGACCGTCGAGTCTTTCACAGACTCTTTCTCAAATCACAGTCTTTGATTCCATTCATTTTTGTCAGCAAAAAAACCTGCTAACATTTAGTTCTTCCGTTTACGTTTAGTTCTAACGTTTTTCCTTAACAAATTATGCTTTTTTCAGGTTATGTGTAAATTTTAAGAATAATCGAATAGTGAATATCCGAGTAATCCGGAATACATCTACTGGGTTCAAATTTATGTGCATTTTACTTTATGTTAATGGAACCCCTTTATAGCAGCTTTTGCTGTACAATTATAACTTGCAGACTTTGTGACAGCATTGCATGGGAGTTCGCGCTTTATCATTATCTCTTCGTTCATTTCTACTCTAAGTTGATTGCATTAAAAATTTCTTCTTATTAGGATCACATTGTGATAACATTTACGTCAGATCAACGAGCAGTAAGATTTAACGTTGGAGCGAAACTCAAGGTATCAATTTTTGAAAAATTAGAAATGAACGGGCAAAATATCGAAAGCTGCCCTCGTCAGTTCAAAATAAGGCTACTTTCCTTTTCGACTGGAAACCAACATTTATTATTGAAAATTTTTTCAACTTTTTCTCTTTGGAAAACTTTCGTATATCCTTCCTTTATCTTTTTATTTACATCTTATCCTTTCCCAGTCCCAGCATTCCCTTTTTTTGTAGCCTCTCATTCAATTGTATAAATTCATATCTAACAGAGATTTAATTTTTGTCTTCTTTGTTGTTGAAGTTCTCTTTGTCTTCTGTTCCAGTCGTTCTATTCTGAATGGCATCTTTCTAAAACCTTTTCCTTTGGTCTTCTTTGCTTGAATATAAGTTACTTGATGTAAATATAGATCTAATATATGCTGCAGCTCAGCTCATCACATACCCGAAAGTGTCTTGCTGATACCCAAACAACAAATCTATTCCTGCATGTTTTCGTAGGCGAACACTCCACTTTCCCTGCAACCCCTATAGTGACAGCAAGTGATTTTAGCGAAGGATTCTACAACTTCTGCATATAATGCCACTTACGTCAATAAAATTCTCTTTTTTAGGCCATCAAGCAGACTATTCCGCCGATTTCGAAAAGGGATGACCATCAACAGTTTCTAGACTATGTGAGAAAGAGAGTACAGTAAGTGAAAGCTCATATATTTCATGTAATATTATTAAAGATCGTTCATTATACTTTCTGTGCAAGTTACAAAGCAAAATGGAAGCAAAAACCTAGCTATTAGAAAATATTGTTCTACTTCCTCGTGGTTTTGCAATTACTTTTATGTCCATACTTGCTAAAGATTTGCTTTTGTTCTATTTTTACTATTACAGCATTTGTTATCCTGGTTTATAAGTTTTTATCTCATAATTTTTGTAGAAATATCCAAGACAAGATACAGCTTACAATGAAGTTTCCAAAGTCACCAAAGTTAGAAACCCTAGTTGCAAAGACACAGGCTTCAGCGAGCAAAAGACCCAGTTCCACCCCCAAATTACAGACACCAAAGCTTAAAGCAAAAGACCCATCTGTTGTTGTCAATTGAAATAGCATCTATCCATGGCTACATTTGCTCTTCTAAATCCTGAAAAAGATTTATTTTTGTATTTATTCATCGAGAATTTAATATATGAAATTTTTCATTTCCTCTTTGCTCGGAGAAAAGTATTCTGAGTAACTGAAAACTTCCGATTGCTCCTACTACAACCAGAACCTAGAGTTTACGGCCGTTTTCAAAAAGGAGGAAAGAACAGTAAGAATCAATATAGAGAAACTGGTTTGGCAGAATTTGTACTCCAAACTGAGACAGAAAACCGTATCCGTGCTATGATCTCGTAAATTTGGATATATTTTACATTTGTTAAGAGTGGATGAATCTCGATAAGGTCGCGTTTAGGAGCATGACTCCGTGTTCCTACCGTAGTCATAGCGTTAAACATAAGTCCGCTAAGCAATGATTCTATCAGTGAATATAAAAATGGTTTTCATTGACTGCTATGAATGCAGTGGGTTTATGACTGTGAATTTTATGTCAGCGAACAATTTCAAAGAATCGAATATATATTTTCTGTTCTATTTATCAAAGAAGTTATTTCTATCGCTAGATAGGCTCTCGATTGAAACTGAGCTCGTTAAGGTCTATAGCATGATACTTCATACGACAATGATGTTGTTGCAGCAACTCGAGTGTTTGAAAATAAGTAATTACTATAAAGACTTGCATGTGAGGTTTTTGGCCCATATTTAAGACACTTCAACTTCAAAATTCAAAAGCTTTAAAACAAGGTTTAGTGGTATTAGAAGCATATAGTGTTTCATTGAAAGTTGACATTTTCTATTATTTAGACTCTACTCGAGCGTATTCAGAAGAAAAAATGACAAAAAATTGAAAATTAAGAACCAATGTGCCGGAGATTTGTAGACAAGTATAAAATGGCTTGAATCGTCTTTCCTATTACTGGAACTTATTGCTTTTTAGCAATGTCAATATCATGTGTAGTTTGAACAGGTATCTAACAGCGCGAATTAAAATATCTTTAGAAAAATCTAAGGTCTCCTATTGTGGCTTTTGGTGGACTTAACAAAGGATGCTGCTATGTGATTGCATCACCTTTTCACTTGTATTCAGGGCCCTTCATTCTCTTCTTATTTTATCATTCTAGAAATTATCGGTGGAGTATCAAGAAAAAAATTCATAAAATATAATCTAATATGGTAGATGTATAAGATATACCTAAAGCCAGCATATTCACAGATTCTGCGATCATCTGTTATCAACATATAGTGGTTCAGCCCATTGAGCCTATTATGTGTGTATGGATACCGCAAGAGGAGAAGGAAAATACGAAGAATGAGTAAATGATGTGGAGGGGAAATAAGGGTATTTTCCAATCACAATGCAAATAAAATATTTTGAGACCAGATTGCAATACATTTCTGAGACTAAATTGTGAAGACTTTTAGGCAACCAGAGTAAAGGCACATAGTTACTCAAAAATCTTCCTTCTGCATGAACAAGAAACTTACAATGAAACGATTTTACATACTTATTTGATTTCAATATAACCAAAAGAAAAAAACCTGCGAGTATTACTTCAGCTACTTGTATAGCAGATGGGTACATAGAAATACCCTCAGAGCTATCGAGCTGTGTATCCAGGAAATATTCTTCAATTTGATATCATGTTATATAAAAAGTTTGGTTTGAATACATTACTAAGAAATTTAAACATTTTTCTAAACAGTAAAATAACAATTAAGAGCAATACAGAAAATAATCCATATATTTTGTAACAATATTTATTATTAAAAGAAATTGAAAACACGAATGAAAAATAAGGGTTATCAAGTAATTATTGTGTAAGTTTTGGGATTTGGTAATTGTAAAACACATGCATGTTCTGAAAGACCCTCGTTTAACACCGTTTGTGTTGCAGCTATCGACCCCCATTTTTCACACTGCACAGGCGCTCTACTAATTCAACGCATGCGTATTACAGATTTTCCTCCATCAATGTCTTGTCTTTCAGATTTGGCATTTTCTTTTTGTCAAACGTTCCTAAATCTATCATCTGGAGTATTCTGGAGATTCAGAACCGTTAAGATGCCAAAATCATCATCAAGGTCAAGGAGTAGAAGCGCATCACCTAAAAGGCGACGTAGAAAGGTACGTTTTCATTATTTAAGAAAAAAATTGCGATATATTGACATGTTAGGCTACCTTAGCTTAGGCCTTAGATCTTATTAAGGGAACATCTTGGTATCGTGTACTCTGCTCAAAGAAAGTAAAAGGGGGAACACACTCCCTTATGTTGTTGTGAAAAAGGCTAGAGCAGTCTTTTTATTAACAACACAAAAACGTAATAGTCATGAAAAGACAGAAAGATAATGAGATAGCCGGATACCAAGAAGGAGCATCTGATCTATAGTTTTCTATTTGAGTTTGAAAACAAGAGTATGACACTGAATAACTAAAGAGGTAACACTTTTCTTGAGACTGCAGAATGGCACTTGAAGGAAACGATTCCGATTTATTTTCTCATCCTACACAAATGCTAATATTTGTAATTTTTTTGAAATAATAACTGTATTCCATATAATGTATCATTTCTTATACAATATGGCTAGCCCAGATTGGAATCTTTGAAAGATATGCAGAGGATCTGTTTTATTTCCATGAAAATTGTGTGTTTGCAATTAGCACAGAATTTTGTGCAGCTGAGGTGGAAAAAATGGGAATAAAGTGGGAAAAGCGCCAAAAAATGACTTGTGTGTGTTTCTATAATAGATCAACTTTTTCCCTTGATCAATTTGCTCACTTTTATTTATAATTTGTAAAGCTGTTCATAAAAGCATTCTTATTCGACATGCTCAATAATTCACAAAAGGTAAATGATCGGCATGAAGTCCTGGTAAAAACGGCACGCAAAAAGTTTGCTTATTTTGTATGGGCTCGAAATTTTTGCAAGAAAATACCTTGCTAGTGATATTTAGAGCACAAGTATCGCACTATTTCCATCCACTTCACATTTTTTTTGTTTTTTATCGCACTTGAAATACAGTTTTCAGTACTGAAGCCCGCATCACTTCCGCGACTTGTAACCGTTAATGCGTCACACACTCCGAAATTCCTCACAGACCGCACACAAATTTTCCCATAAAAAGTCTTGAAAATTTCATGCAACTTTGAAGCATTGTAGCTTCAAAACACTTCACAATTCTAAAAAATGAACTTCACCATCGGATTCAGGAGCACTGACTTTGATGAAAAAATTTTGATTTTTTCAATTCAGTGGCACTTTAAGAATATTCCTTTTCCCAGGGTTGTCAAGCAAAAATGCCAAACAACTTTCCATAAAAATGTTGAACCTTCATGCTGTATTGTCATTTGTTACTCCTTATTGAATAGGAATACCAAGTGTGACACAAGATGCTAACTTGTCATGATCACACCTAAATATGACCCCTAATTGTGAAATTGCAAATAGTTTATGGTTATGTTGTCTTTTAACAAAGCTTACTATCAAAATAAGTACAAAATTTTAGAAAGTGTGTCTCTGTTATTACAGTTTCAACTTTTATGCAGTATTATTTAGTTTCACAAAAGAAGTAAATATTTGCATGAAAGTGTTACCATTTTTCCTTCATTGGAGCAGTGAAATCCTTTTTGTACCACCAATGTATGTAGTGGAATCTGAATTTATATATATTTATGAACTGAACCTGAAGAAGCTAAAAACTTTTGTAAATTTTATATATTTCAAGTTTTCATTTGTTAAACACTTTTTTCTCATAGGAGAAGGAGAGGAGAAGGAGATCTAGGTCGAGAAGTAGGTCACCAAGGAGAAGGTGGAGATACTCAAGAAGTAAGTCGCCAAGTTTAGATAGATTTGGAAGAAGCATTCATAGAAGAAATCGTTATTCAGAAGATGATAGCAAGAGGGAATCAGTTGACAAAAGTGCACAAGAAGAAATGGAAAGACAAAGGAAAATGTAAATTTTCTTCTGGTTTCTAATGTTTTTCTGTTTTCATGTAATAGATGTATATATATACAGAACTAGAAATAAGGAGAAAAGAATCAATACAGAATATGCTGCATCAAGGACCAATTGGAGTTAAATGAACTCAAAATTGTCAATCTAGCTACTTCCCTCCTTATCATTAGCATTGCTTTTGTCCATTAAGGGTTTATGAACACCTCCAAGAAGGATTTTCTATAAAGTCAACATAGGTTTATATATGCAGTCTTGAATTTGAAAATTGTCTAAATACTGAATAATAATTGCCAAAAATTTCCCTGGATTGCAAGAAAGACAGGAAAGGGTGTATGGTAAGCAAAAATAAAGATTTGCAAGACCGCATAAAATTGAGATTTAGAAAAGTGATCAGTAACATTAGACCTGTTGGAATCACACTCCTGCAAAAGGAGAGGTTACTTTTGATGGATGCAGAGAAAATGCACAGCATATCTGTCTTTTTTACCAAAGTCATTTTGAAAGTGCGCACAGAAGCATCTGTGAAAAATATTTTTGTAGCAATGGAGGATTGTTTGAAATGAATAGAAGAGATTTCAAGAGAATGTAATTGAAAGAAAATAATTTCTGCTTTTGGATAAGAAATTATGAGCCTGTGTATAAATTTTGAAGATTGTAGCATTTTCCTCTTTGTGTAATGCATTTTAAAAGAAACATATTAAAAGTTTATTGTTCACTTGGTTGAGTTACTGTGTTGTAGAGTCATTCCATGTGTCAATAAAGCATCACTAATCTTCACTAGTAGTCAATGGTGGCACAAAAGTTAACCTTCGTGCAAATCGGCTTTAAACCACATATTCTTCTTTTTATTGTTTTTCTTGTTTTTCTTGTTTTTCAGTATATTGTTTTATAAGAGCTGAAAAGCTACTTCAGCTTTCTTCAGCCTACATTTGTCAGTTTATTAAGAGTTTTTACAATTTTCCAAGTCTTTACTATTCAATTGTTCAGAAGACTGTCAAAGACATATATGAATATTCACTTGCTTATTTGTCATTATTTTCTTACCTGGCAGTCAAAACTTTCAATTGCTTCTGAACTTTAATAAACCATTCATGTAAGCAAGCCAGTCTCTAAATGGAAATCAGGATGGTTTTAAGAATTGTACAATCAACAGTTTGTGATACATCATAGAAAAAGGCTTCTGTTTTGACACTGTTCTTGGCTTCTCCTTTTCTAATCTTTCTTAAAACTATGTACAAAACCGACCTAAATTAACCTATCACTTAAGCATTTTGATCACAGTGATATTCAGCTGCTCTGTTCTAATTTCAATAGGATATTTGCATCTAGTGTTCATTGCAATTTGTGGAGACAAAGAATTGATGTTAAATACTTTACTTTTTCTTTTTACACACTCCTTTCCACACTCTTAGCTACTTCTTTCTTGCACTCATATTCAATCTAGGCCTTTTACCCTTTTCAAACGTGTTTTCTACTTTCCATAAAGGAAGAAATTGTTTTGAATCTTTATTTCCTTCTTTTTCCTCTTCTCTTTTTCATTTTCATATCTCTTTCCTCTTTTTTCTTTCTCTTTCTGCTTTTTTCTTTCCTTTCTCTTTTCCCTCCTAGACAACAGAGCCTCTTTGGAAGCATCTTCACAGCTTCACACACTTCTTCAACCACTTAAATCAATATTGGTCATAACTTTGTTTGAATGTGAATGCAATATCAAGTGAATGAATGTAATATACATTTTGCTCATTGATGATCCTTGTTACAGCGTCTAAACTTATTTTGAGATTTCTTTGCTTTTTAGACGAGCATCAGAAATGCAAGCAAAGTTCATAGAAGAGGAAACTCATAGAAGGATAGAGGATATTGTGAACAAGCGTGTGGAAGAGGAGCTAGCCAAAAGAAAAATTGACATTGATGAAGAAGTTATGAAAAAGGTGGAGGAAGCTAAAAAACATGTTGAGCAACACCTCCATATTGAATATGAAAGAAAAGAAGAAGAAATTCTTGAAAAGTACAAAATAAAAGAGGTGGGTTTTAATTTCATTGCTGCAAAGTTTTGCTGACATAAAATTTCCATGCTAATGGGTAAGGATACCAACATATAAGTATATATTCTTAAAAATGTCAGCATTAAGTTGGTATATTTTATTTATTTTGTTTATTTTTGTTTCAATGTTTAATAAGATTCCAAACTTAACTGGCACTGACTACTACATAATGTATAAACTCTACGACTTTTGCCTCTCTTTTTAATGTTGAGAAAAATGTTAAATATGGGATTCATGTCAAATCCATCTCTATAGTTAGTGGTATTCAACTTTTCAAGGGGTGGTTTTTTCTCCTAGCATTTAGGATGGCATTGGAAATAAAAGTTATTCAGATGCACTTAATATCCAAAGCAATATGAAGTGAATAACAATAACATTTGTCTTCCATTAGGAGCTGCAGAAGTTTTGTTTTGAATTTCAACAATCAGATTGTTCACTTGAATAATATTGTCAACGAAATATAACACTAAAATAATTGTTTTTCTACAAAAAGTGTTATTTCAAGTTTGTTGTGTTTTAACTGTTGTTTTAATGTTTGTTAGGGTAGGTCTAAGGACTAATATTATTTGTATTTATGCTCATTTTAACTAGAGCTTTATCAAAATAGGAAAGTGAATTAAGCAAGTCTCTGTAAGAGCTCAAATTTTATCAGCCATAAGACTATTTGTACTCTACCTGAAATCATGTCTGCAGTATTTTCAGGATTTTGGAAATGTTTTTGTAGATATTAATGTAATATAAATCAAAATCAATGATTGTGTAGTTTGTAAATGGTGGATTCATTTACAAGTAGTTGTTCACTTTGTAACCCACCTATTGACAGCTAAAACAAAACTAACTATTTTATCAAAATACCTTAAAAAATAGTTGATGCTGGATATCTTGTTTCTTTTGGACCATGTATACACAAAATGGGTCAATTATAAGCTATATATATAAACCATACTTAATAACAGATGTATTGATGCCTTCAAAAATTGACAATTTTTCAAATTTAGATTAATCATAATTTTTGACAAAGCTGTTTTTATTAGAAACTTATGCTCATTGAGACATCCATATTTTCACTTCTGTTGTCATCAAAAGCTGAAACATATCGCAACTATGTATGTTAAGCAAAGTTGTTAAAATAAGCAATGCAGTTTAATGTTGGGTTTAAGTATAAGTTTAAAGTAAATGCTAACTAATAGCCAAACATTAAGTTTCTTTTTGAATTCTTATTTAGATGGATCAAAATGAATCAGTTGAAGAGTCGCTGTAAACGAGAAACAATTTTATTAGCTATAATATGACTAATGAATTGTTTCATTTTCTTGAAGTATGTCAGTGAAAGATTCTTTCTTTTTCTCATAGGACAGTAACTGAAGCCCCAGGTTAAACACTGTTTCTACTGAACGTTCTTTAACGTCGTCTTTTCCATTGTACTGTTTAGGATTATATAAGAAAAAAGCTTGTGAGCAAAACATTGGTTGACGATATATATTCTTTGCTGAAGGGTAATTATAAAGCTCACTTTTCGCAAGGAACATGTAAGTTTACTATGCCAAACCAAGCTTCCTTGAATGTGTCATTGGTGTCTTTGAATACACTATTATTGATGACAATTCTTAATGTGCCTCCCAAAAGAGCAGAGTGGAAATAAGGTAAATATGGCAGTGCACCTATGCCATTAATCGCTACTTTCCAGTGATATCCAGGTAATATTTGGGTGTCCATCCGCATTGAGAAAGATCCCCAAGTGTTCTTTCTGTAGTTACTGGTAAAGCAAAAGCATATTTTAATTGGCATAAAATGGTCTTGCTTCCATTGTCCCCTTCTTTTTTATAATGCCATCAAGAATAGATGCATTTATAATCTTAGGACAGCCACCAACTTCATTGGCTTCAAACTCATTCCCTTTTCAGAACAGCAGAAAAAGCTTTCTTCCCAAGAAATATTAATGATCCTTTTTTCATCAACTAGCCAGACTTGTCGTAAACCAGACAATAAACTCAGCCGCCATATTTTCTAAAAATGCTTTGATTTTGTATCTGTTCGGTCGGAACTTGATCTCTTTCATCCAACAACTGACGAGATCGCTATGCATCTGCAGGCAAGCAACGTTTTATAATGTATGCCAGACTGCTTGATGCTTTTTGGATTTACCTGAAATGCGCACCTCTTACCCCTCCTCTTTTCTAAATGTGCATCACGATAACTCTTGTTATCTTTGTTTCTTTAAATTCTGTTTCAGGAAGAATACAAAGCTCAAATTGAAAAGCTGAAAAAAGATCTAGTAACCGCCGAGAACAATTTAAAGGAAGCTGAATTGAAGCTAGTGAGTTGATATGTTTACTGGGTTTGTCAGGTTATCAATGAAAATATCATTTGGTCTATGAATAACACCGCCTGGGTTTGTATGAATTCTGCCCCCCCCCCCCAATCAACATGACAAAAGGACCTGTAAATGTTTTCCGACGCATGTTGTATTAGCCTTTCCAACCCCATCGTTTACCAATTCAGTCTCTGCCTGTTTTTGATGTGCGAATGCTAGAGAACCAGTTTACCGTTCTATCAATTATGAAAATGGATTGTTTTGTTTACAAAGTGTTCACCGTTAAAAACATATCCCAGTGATTGAGGAAAGAAGCAGTGGAAGAACTACATTTGGTCCCTCAAATAGCGTTTGTGCTCAAATTGCACTTTAATTTTTGACAGAGTTCTTAAAATGTTTTTGTTTTTGTTGCAGGCGGAAGAGCGTCTAAAGCTTCTGGAAAAACAAAGACAACTCGAGGAAGAAAAACACGACTTGGAGAAGACTTATAAAAAAACTGAGAAAGCTGCCCAAGAAATAATTCTCAATAAAAAGAACTCAAGACCAAAGTTAGCTTTCGGTTTGAAGCCAGTTTTCAAATAGAATTTTATTCTAAAAGTTGTAAATAGAGTTTTAAACAGGAAGTATCTTTACGCAAAGGCCTAGGCCAAGACCTGGATTCACTTGGTAAGCGCCCATCCCCTTGCATTGACCAAAATAAAAAAATTTTTTCTTATAGCCATAGATGTATACCATTTTGTTTAATGTACTAAAAAATTTTTTAATTAGAACTGTCTTAGGTAAACAGAAAGGTCATCTTTAAAGCCGAAGGTAAATTTCCTTGCATTTTTTTCTCTAATCTTCAAACGCTGTAAACCAGATATCAAAACTGAAGAGTACTGTAGGAGAATTGTCGCTTGTCTTCAGAGAACCGTCTAATGTGTTTAACTTTTGTTAGAAAGTTTTGAAAATCTTCTAAACAAGACGAAAAGTAGTTATTCTGCTTAGGAACCTATTCACCGAAAAACTACTTCTCACAGTTTGTAAACTAAATCGTTATTCCCGTTCTGATTTCGGCTGTGTTTAGTTAGTTTCATTTCAACGGGAAAAGGGAAACGCCCGAACTGTACCCTTCTCATTAGTTTATTTTCATTACATTAATTAATTTAACGACGGTAGCCCTTCAGTCATAACTTTTTGAGAGATTCACCTCCACTGAGCTAAATTTCTTTATTATAACATTTTTTACAGTCGATTACATGAGTTTAAAGTTTTTATTATTGGCAGTTCTGAATGTGTTAAGGGACGTTGTCTGTTCAGCGACAGTTGAGATGTGATTTCACGTCAGCCTTTCTCGATTTTTTGTAGAAAAATAGACATGCCCGCCTTTTAATGGGGAATTGCTGGTATAGCAAAAACTGTCTACATGAAACTGAGACTTTAGAGTAAATAGCTATATGGTGGGGAGCCAACTCATTCAAGGCTTCAAGGATGCTGGTCACAATATCAGTGAACACCACCCACTAATTAAGCGATAATATATGCCAAAGACAGATTCTTCCTTATTAATTTCTATATCCAAATTCACGTTTATTAATTTTTTAAATTTTTTTTTCCACCTAGAGCCTGAATAACCCCATATTTATTAGCTTCACGAGCTTTCAGTTTTCTTATCATGTGTCGAGCCACGAATTGGTTTCAATCTTATCCACCAATTGATTACCAATTTCTTTTTTTAATCCAAGGGGTTGGTAAGACCATTAGATAAGACAGATCCATTTGTCAATTGTTTTTGTTATCCTAAAGAGCGTTATCCTCCCCGCTTCTCTTGATGACTTTTCTTGATGTTGTTATTGTCTACTGTGTTAAGACTGGGGTAATAACTTTTTTCTGCTCTTTGAAAGGAAATCCACAAAATTGCCATTAAATTTGTACTCTCTGTGCGTTTTGGTGTTTGAGATTGAGTTTTTAGAAGCTTCGGATTTTGTTCTTCCTTGAATTATGACCGGTATCCTTGGTGCCCACATTAATCATGACAGTAGAAGAATTCATTCAAGTACTGTGGTAGTGGTTTATTGTACGTGCGATCTTTCAATGTACCTTTCTTGTGTAGATTCTCATGCAATCTGCTGAGCGTGGTATTATATTACAGATAAAATTCTCTTAATCAACTTGAAGAGCCTTTTAACAAGTTTTTGGCTGGCAGATTTTGATACAGATCCTAAACAAAACATGCACTGGAATAACCTAACTTACATTTTGGCCTTACCTCAGCCCGTCTTGTTTCAGCCCTCTCTGCATGGTTGTTTGCCTGTCCCCGTTCCAACTAAAGGTCGCACTGGGCTCAGGCATTTTCAGCAGCATTCCGCTTCTTGCTCCTTTGGGAATTGCGCGCTATTTAAAAAACTCGACGATTCTAAAGCGCATTTTTGTTAAGATGCGTGGTTTCTGTTTCTGTGTTCACCGCAAACTGCAGTTCAAGCTCAGTACTAAAAGGATGGTCTTGCATAAACTGGTAAGATAGGAGCAATGCGTTGAATCACTAGCAGACTTTTCAGGTAAATATTTATATGTTATCTTATTTATTGCAGTTTTCTCTTCGCACAGTTTTAATGCTGTGGTTGCAAGACATTAACCAGCCTTGTGCAAGCGAAATCTGATTCTTTGTCACGGCCTGTCATGCCCCGGTAAACAGATCAAGCGTTTCGCATAATATTTTAATAAATATGCAATGTTTGGTCAAATATTTCTTTCCTCAAGACAACGAGGTATGAAAGTCCAGTCCTCATGGGGGTATGCTTTAACCAAAACAAGTCTATTGAGGACACCAATAGCAAAAAACAAGGGCAAACAACACAAAACATAGCTTTTTGAATTATACCTTCTTTTCTCTAGCCTGTTTATTTGTGTTCTCCTTAATTCGCTACTACCTTTGATTTTTCAGCCCCTATACTTTTGCCCTTTCAATAGTTTTGCTCCTTCATTTGCTGTGCACATGTTTGCGGATCTTAAGGCTGGTCTTTTTCGATGTAAAGTAACGTAATCCACAAAAAACGAATTACGAATTGTCAGAGATATGGCCAGATGAGCACAGGCTCCTGCCCCCATCAAACTTCTGTAATTTACATAACTTTATAAACAGAGCCAAAATGTACTTCGCAAATTTCAAATCTTTTATTGGCTATATCTAACCCGGTTTTTGACTCATTGACCTGATTTCACACATTTGGAAGTATTTCATGGAGTTATTTTATGTTATATATTCAAAATTAAAAAAATTCTAAGAATTGTTTTTGCGACTTCATACTTAAGAATGATCATGTCATGTGACGTCAAGAACACAACAAAAAACAACGAGATAACAGGGAAATAAAAATGGTACACCGATATTTACACGCAACTTTAAACTAACGGCATGCCAACAACCCTGAGGATTTATCCACGGATATGAGAATGTAAGGCAATAACATGTCCCATTTATGAAATAACAATACAAACTACTTACATTTAATATTTATACTTACAAAGAATTAATAAAAAAGTTAAATAATTAAGCTTTAAATCCCTCGATCTACTACTGAACTAGAACTGCTAAAATACATATATCAGTCGCTAATGCAGTATAAAGCACCTTTTATAAAGAAGCTTTTGGAATTATTAAAAAGAAATGGAACTGTTTTGCTATATTTTCAAGAAATTCTAATAAAGAACGCAAACATGTAAATTCAATTGTTCATCTTTCGTGAAAAGTTTAAAATAATTTCAGGAAGACCGATGGTGGAATTCTTTACCCTGGGTACCATTTTACCCCCGTTTTTCATCCTCTGACTCTCTGGGCTCTGGCACCCAGAGTAGGACTTCTCCAAAGCAAACATTTATGCAAACGATGCATTTACAACAATCGCATCTAATCACATTAAAACACTCATTCACATGACAAAGAAAGAGCTTTTAAATATCAGTGACTGGTCAAGGGCGAATAAACTATGTGCAAACCAAAAACAATGAACTTATGGTTATTGGTCATCGACGAAGAATAAATGAAATTGACGACTTCTCTTCGCTCGAACCGTAATGATTCTGAAATAATTATTGAAATAATTATCTGAAATAATTATAGAAGAACCAATATGAATCACTGATAGAAAAGTAAGTAGGTGGTTTATCAGACGTACATCACGCTCTTTTTGAGAGTCACCTACGCCATGGACACGTAATATGGGGCACCATATCTTCATCCGAATTTTAAGCGCATCAACATTTTTCCAAAACAGCACACTATCAATTATACAGCGCGCAAAGTTTAATTATTCATGGCCTAAAAAATGACTAAGCGTTGTGCATCTTATTTGATTTGATCGCTAGGTTATGGTAAATAAGTTGTAGATAAACAATGCCTTGAAAGCTTGTGGAATATGTTCCAACAAAGGTGTTCTATATCAAACTATATTACAAGAAATTATAGAGATCGTCTTATTCCTAAGCTAAACTTTGAATCCACCAAAAAAGGATTTCATTACTCAGGCATTAAGGCTTGGAATGATATTCCAGTTAATACAGGAGAACTTTCATTAAGAACGACCCCCTTGGAAGATCGGGTTTATCAAGCTAGTTTAACTACTGTATTTATATGCCATAATTTCAACGGGGCAGCATCTAATTTATATTAATTACTGTTTTCGCTTATCTATGTCCTTATTGATTACAATTGCATTTTAGGTGAGATGGTACCACCATACATGCCAAATTCACCGGCAAACAGTAGGAAAAGTTGAGAAAAAGAAAACAATCACAAGTGGCGATGCTACATGGTGCTATACTATAGCCATTTTGCGGTGTCAACGGTACCCTTTGGCGTGTCGACGGAGAATGTTACTGGTTCAGGGTGAGGACTGGAAACTTTTGGGAATTCAACACACTTTATTCAAGTGCAAGATGATCAATTGTATGGTTGCTGCTTTAAAGAAATCTACAATACATGGCGCTGATTTCTTTATGTCTTCCATCTGCCACAGAATAGGGATTTAAGGCCTAGAGCCCGACATCAAACCATGGCTTGATGGCACACAGGGATGAGTTGTATAACTTTCTTCTGGTATGCTTTTTAATCTGATCGTGAATCAGTCGTCTCTCAAGATACAGGGGGAAAAGAATATAAAACAGAACACTAGAACACAGAATATATCTAAAGACAAAGTAATGCCTCTGGTGAAGTCTACAAATGTCTGATGGCAGTTTAAAGTTCCATTTTTTGTCTCATACACTGACGGAATATGCTCCAAAGTATTAGGTCTTGGTCCTCCCCAGCTAGCGTATGACAGAATGACCATGACAAGAAAGGCCAACATACCTCCGAACAGACAGCAACAGCTTGTAACTTTTTCCATTTTATGCTTGAGTTTATTCTGGATAGCAATTCCGAAAATCACAAGCAAACCATATGCGCCAAGGTACAGAGTCAATATAGGCATGAAAGCTGGACAAACGAAAAGGTACGTTGAACCTGTTGATGAACAAGTATTTGATGTTACAATGATATTGTTTTCAATTTAAGGAATGTTGTTACTTTAATTATTAAATTTATATATGAGGATGATTATATTGATAATTATAAACTTCAACAAATACTATCGACGCAGGGTTGTCGCCACAGAGGGGTGGGTACAGGGGGCGCTGTAGCCCCCCCAAACACTTTGTCCGTCGGCACATAAAGGGTTTTTAACGAGCAAACGAAGAAATGTTTTCTCACCCTGTAACCTTTTTGCAACAACTGTAACGTATTAATATTTCTGTAGTAGTTAAAATTTCACAGTATGAAATTTATAGAAACGCGCAAGAGCAGCATATAAGATTATTTATCTTTAGGCCACACCCTTAAAGAGTGAGACTCGCCCTGTTTGTCGGAGAACATAATTTCTGCACCCCTCCGAGGAATTTGTTTAGCTTCCCCCCTGTATCCAATTTTGAATGAAAAATATATAACGCGACAGCTTTATATTTCGGCAAAAAAATAAATAGGTGTAAACCTAAATAAATCTATCTATAATCTATAATTGCTTATTTATAGGAAAATCTGTCATAAAAAGGTAGCAAACTGTTCATTTCTTGTTCATTTGTAAATTTGATATTGGCATGCTGAAGAAAATTCAGGCTTTGATTAATATCTTAAAAAAGAAGTAGGTATCATAAGAAAAAATTACGTCTTTGTTATTAATCGATGTTCTGACGTTTTATACTCTAAAAGAGTGTCAGATGAAAAGCTTCAAAGACACTGAAAAGCTTAAGTTTTGTGCCACCAAAAGATTGCGTGACTTAATTATATATCATTCTCGAATAATTCATATAAGAGTTCTTTAGGACCTTCCTGGCTGTTGCGGCCTCGACATAGCCCAATTAAGCACGGCCTACTCGAATTAACTGTTTTTCTGTTGAAATGGCTATTTCCAGAATTAGATGTTTCTGCAGTGTGTAATTTGAAATGAAACATATGTTGTTCGGTAGTTGGTAGAGTGAAGGAAAGTTTCGAGAATCCCAGGTTCGAGAATCAAGTATATTACGTTCAGAAAATTTGAGATCACATACACGCTTTCTTGTTATAAGCATGCTTAAATTTAATGACTACAAGGCTTTCAAAACATATAATGCGAAACTCGCATTTGTTTTGCTTTCTGAAAAAAAAATTCTTGATTAAGCTTGAGCCTTGCATTATTCTTAAATTTTTTGCATTCAATAGAAATAGAAAAATAAAAAGAAACAAAGGGAAAATTGTTCTAGGAAAATAAGAGTGAATTTTAAAACGAAGTTTCGAGCATAACCCGTAGGTAACTTGATAATGGCCTATGCTTGAAACGTCGTTTCTAAAACTGCTCTTATTTTTCTAGTACAATTTTACCGTACTTTCAAGTCACATTGTCGCATTATATTGTACGACGCGCAAGCTAACATGTTCATGGAATCTCAGTTTGGTATCCACTTACCCATGTAAATGCATGTTACTGACAGCAAAAATATGAATGTCAAGAAAACTGCTACAGCTAAAAAACAACAGTTTTTATCTCAAGGTATCGTTAAAAAAAAGATGTCATAAAACAAACATTATTTAAACTATAGAAGTATGAGGTGTTTATTAGATGCTTCTTGTGACGGAAGGCCCAAGTACTGCATCATGTGTCATGGGACTTAAAATACTATAATAAAGGGAGGGGGGGTATTAGAGAATTTCGGCTTCACAGCCCTGGTCTTTTTTCTACATGCGGTCTACGGATTCGGCAAAGGTTTTGTAAGAAGCGTCTTGCGTTTTTTGGTGCAAATTGGCTTTTTGCGTTCGCAGACTGCAGCTTTTGGCTTATTTTTACACAGTTTGTGGCTTTTGGACCCCCATAATAGGCCCCCATGATAAATGAAACTGTTAGTGAAAATAAGATTATTACATATTTTCATGTAACAAGATTTCACTAAAATAAGTCGTTTTTAATAAATAAATTGCACGTTATGCACACAAGGTAAATTTCATGAGAATCAATGCCCTTTTCGTTTTTCAAAATGGTAATGAAATTGTTGATTTTCTTACTTTGGTGATTTAGAATTCTATTGAAAAATGAGTATTTATGAAATAGTTACCACTTTTATCCTTGGAGCACTTTTTCCGATTCTCCAACGTTCTTTGGTTTACCTGATCTGTGATAGGTTTGAAAAAGATGCGAGTGTAAGATATCTTTTTAGAAGAGAACAGTTTTGTAAGAAAGTAGCATTTAGTTTTACAAACCAAAGAAAATTGAGAAATCCGTGGAAAATATTTTAAACCAAATGAGATCACATAAGGGTCATATGGTATAAAGACTTCTGAAATGTGTTGAATAAGCGAAAGATGATCGCTAAAAACCTGTGTACAATACTGCCAAACAGCAAACCGCCAAAGTTCGTAGGACTAAATCAAATGTTTAAAACTTTTCGTTCTTTCAACGCATGACACCCTCTGATGTCTTTGCTACGGTTCTTCCAAATATTGTGTACTTAAACCCCCCTACTGCTTGCTTGAATCTAGGGTCGTATTTTATGGAAAGAAAATTTTTGTTTTGTTTTTTGTTTTGGAAGACTATCTTGATTCCTGCTAAAATAAAAATCTTTGCATATTGAGGGGGCAAGGGGGTGAGGGGAAGAAGCAAGGGGCAAAAGGGCGTGGTCCCTACCAAATGCTCAGATTGTTTATGGTAATAGCCAGTTGTAGAATTGAAAGGGCCATCCACAAAGCTATATACGACTGTCATTGGTTAGATTAACCAACCATTGCCACGTACAAACGGCAAGGCTAATTTCAGACACACTTACAATTAAATGGGGCGTTTCCCCAAAGTGACAGTGTGTGGGTCTCCAAAGGTTGCGGCCCAACTCTTGCCGTGCTCGTCTTTGCCCCTCTAATCTTCCCACCCTGTCTACACCACTGTTAGACTACCCAAAGGGCCGTTCGAAGTACCAACTCTCACCGGCTTACCTGAAGTTTCTACCTCAACCGCAACGGATGAATCTTGACCTTCATGGTCAGTAGTTGCACCTTGAATGTCTATGACATCTTCGTTGCTGGAAGTCGAGACATTCTGTGTATCTCTGCTAGCGCAAAATCCGTCAATTGTAAAGACTGTTTGGCCAATTGCGTCCCTGTAGCTCGGAGGGGGCGGAAGCTCATTTTCTCCGTTTTCTTTTAAATACTTACTTCTTAACTCTAGCTGTACTTTGCGACTTAATGCTCCCATCATCCACTCCTAAAAATAAACAAAAATTTTTATCTTAGCTTCTCTTTGCGAGATCCGTAACTGTCCTGAATTTCGCTGAAATTGTTTAAGTAAAAGTAAAATCAAAATCTAAAAGACCCTTAAACCTTAAGACAGTAAAAGTTATTGCAAGCGAAGTTTATCATTCCAAGATTACCTCTGCGACGACTTTTTTACATGTAGAAATAGAATGATGATCCATATTTGAATAGCTTAGTAGCTACTTCAAAACAAGTTGTTTTCTGTGATATGTTTGTAAGCGAACGTAATCAACGTAATATATGTTTAAATTAGGTTAAATGGAATCCCCATCATAGGGGATTCCTATTCAATACTTTCCTTGCTAGAAGCTAACTGCATATGGTTGTGTCATGCTACGGCGCACGTTTCATAGAAGCGCCGAACAAAAATCACTCAAGCGGTAAAAGGGCAAAAAGACTATTCCGCATAAGGAAGATTATCGAAAGTTAGCATAGTTTTGAAAGGTAAGTTATTTTTTTAGCTTGCCGTATTAGTTTCAAAAGTTTTAAGCCAAAAATTGTTATTAAATACATGGGCTCCGACAAAGGTTGAAAAGTGGGGGGGCCAAGGGAAAATTTAACACCAGATTTACAAAAGATTTTGAAAAAACTCTATTGTTTTGCAAAAAAGTGGGGGGGGCAAGGCCCCCCGGCCCCCCTTCGTCGGAGGCCCTGAAATAGGGTTTCAAGATTTTTAAAATATTTTTTGCTGCCGACCTTGTACGACCACTCTGGCTGCTTTCGGGTTTATTTGCGAAAAATCCACAAATAATTTCAAGATTAGGTTTATTAAGTATTTTCTAAGTGAAAAGGTAGATGTAAGCAAGTACTCTCACTTTAAGGAGGCCTTACAAGAGAGGGGGGCTAAATTGAGAGAAGGGGCTTCATAAATATTTTGTAATAAAGAACCATTTATAGTGGTAAACTAATTTTTGTTATTTGCGAAATAAAAAACATCAAATCAGCCTTCTATATCAATAATATTGGCATCTTCATCGTTATCAATTATTAACTCTAAAATATCTTCTTGGGCCATATCGGGCCTCTTACATGACCCGTGCTTAAGGCCTTCTTAATCTTTGTCTTTGGATCTTTCTTGGCTGGAAGTGACATGGTGTGATTTGATGCAATGTATTGAACGAGAATAAAAAGAAAATCTCTGTTTTTCGTCAAGTTTACTTATTTTGGCATCAATAAAACTTTTTTTCGGGGGGGGGGGGGGCTTAATTGGGGGGGGGGCTTGAAGGGGATTTGCGGTATATCATTATGACAACTTGTTAAATGAACACTATCTACTTCGGCAACCCCTCTGCATAGAAGTGTAGCAGCCAAGGCCTCTGGAACAACGATCTTGTGCAAATTGTGATAAGAGAATAAAAATCTGCACAACTACACAGTTTGATATGCTCAATAAGATGGGGTCGGGACCCAGTCTGAGAAATACCCCTAAAAGCTATTTTTAGAATGTTTAATTGTTCCCAGACTCCTAAATTGATTATATCTATAACTTTGTTGAAAACGAAATTATTGACATGAAAATTAGTACAAATGCTAATCACAACACCGTAATGTGATTTAGATTTACATCCATCGTCAAAATACCCTCAGTGCTATTTTTAGACCAGCTTATCGTTCCCAGACCTCTAACACGCTTATCTTTACAACTCCGCTAAAAAGAAAATCAATAGCAAGCAACTTGATTTAGATACTAATTATAGTACACTAAAAGGATTTGAATTGATACGCATCTTCAAATTGCCCCACAAACTTTCGAAGCTGCTAGCAAAGTTTTTTGAGAACATTTGTATGACATTTTCATAACAAAAAATGGCCAAGGACATTTTTAAAACTTTTTTGCTTCAAATTTTTAATGAGCCTCCTCTCTATATTATGCCCCCCTCTCTTTTAAGCCACCCCTCTAGAACTGAAAAAAGACCAAAAAGCCCCCAGGGCTTTATAGAGCTTCTACGGTATTTCTATGGGATGACCGTCAGTGCCTACTGTTGGTAATTGTGAAGGAGCATCAACCGAACACGAGGTAGAGTCGTGCAGTCGCGGTCCTCCTTGTTCAAGATGGGGAATGCGAACTCTGCTGCAAGTGCTACTCAGCCGTCGCCTAAACCACCCTCGGGTGGCCAATCTGTTACCAACATGCCGCCAGCACCACCTATGACTGCTCCTTCACCACCAGTGGAAAGCAAGGCTGACACTCCTGTTGAAGAGGTCAGGAAAAACCCTGGAAGTTATGAGGACATTCACAAGAAGTGCAGAGGTAAAGTATAATATAAAAGGCCTAATAAGGAACACCCTTACATCGTTTAATAATAGAGCCAAAACATTATTGTAAATGAAATAGATTTCGCAAAAATTTCTTAGATAAATTCTGCAAAAATTTCGGCCACTAAAACGCATTCTTAAAATTGAACAATAAATGCTGATTACAGCCCAAACTAGAATGTTTGGCACTTTTCGACGAGATCTGGGGTGTGCCAGAGGCTCTGAAACGAAAATATTGTGCGACAAATTGGGTGGAATATTTTCAGGTGTAGGCGGAAAATGCGCTACACAGTTTATTCGTATACTTGGAATATAATTAGCATCCAAGTAGCTCAGCTGTAAGATGAATTCTGCCATTTACTAGAAGAATACTAAGCAAACATAGCAATAGCAGTCCATGGCCTGTTATTCAGACTTAAATAAACCGTAGCATAAAATTTACTAGTGAAAAATGCAAAAACCATCCAGGCTAGATGCAGCAAGGTTTCTATAATGGTTTCAAACTTTAGCATCATAAAAAGTGCATGTTTGCCAATGTATGTTTTGCCATGACAATAATGATTCCTCCAAGAAATAGTGATAAATATACACCAGGAATTAGTAGACCAAAATAGCGATGAACATTTTTAGAAAAGTTTGCATTAAGATGAAGGAACCTACAATTAGGTTCATACTGAAGAAAATTTGTTATATATGGGATTTTTTATACCTCGGAAATTTGTACAGAATTAAGCGTAATAACATCTAAGGAGATCAAATTATGAAGATAAGTACCATTGTTCAAGAATTTTAACTAGCAGAATTCAAGGGGCCAGACATTTTTTATCATACCAGAAAATTAGTTTTACTCGTGTCCAGGTTTCACAATACAGGATTCCACTGTAGATTGGTCCTATGGTCATTTCGAAGGTTTTTACTTAATCAGCAATCCTGATAAGGTGTTGGCTCTGTTAAGAATTGTACATTTATGCTGACAAAATGTTTGAACTAGAAGACCCAGATGCAGATGGGATGATGGACAAGACTTTGTCACTCTTCTTGCCAATCAAGCCAACATCTTTTTCTTTTCCTTGTAAAACTAGTGTCATTATTCAAATCACAGGCCAGGAATTGGTTATGGAAACAGCAGACATTGCTGTCATTTTAGAATTGCAAAAAGATGCTTAAAGGCCCAGGAATGATGAAATATGATGCTACTGTGGAAATTTAGAAAAAATATAAGCCATTGATCATTGGTTTCAGCATGTTTTCATAATGCCAATTTCACTAATCTCTCCAGATTTGTCCACTGTTCTGTACTTGAAGTCTTTTTTAAGCCTGTGGGTGCTTAAGTGACTTTGAGGTTGATCAGAAGTTTAAAGATTTCTGCATGATTGGCCCAAATATGATATAGAGAAAAGAGGCACATGAAGCAAAAAAATCATTGAAATTTATTTTTAATATCATAACTGCCATAACCAAACAAGCGTTTCTTCCAAATTCCCAGACCTGTATTGGCCGATGCAAGAAAGTAATTTGTCGTTTAAGAATTTTGAACTTGAGTGTAAAGATTTGAATATTATCCATGACAATATCCCCTTGTTGTTGATAGAAATGAAGGGAATTTGAAGCGTGTAAAGAAGCCTTGCAAATTTATGAAACATTGTCTTGAATTTGCTGTCAAATATATTAAATAAGAAATTCTTGCACCTAGATTTGATGCCAACACCATATGAAGGCTTCAAGCTTGTTGTCAATAAAGGACTGAGCAATCATTTTCAGATCAGCCACACCCTTAATCTCAGTGCTACAATGCCAAGCTCATACCATTTTGGTGCAACTTATGTTGGAACTAAACAGATAAGTCCAGCAGAGGTAGGTTTTGGTATATAATGAATGTATTCCACAAACACGTTTAAGATGGAATTTCACAGAATTCTGCTTAATCAGTATGCTGCTTTTTTCAGCTTAAGTATTTTCACTCTAAACCTTTTAACAGGGTTACAGACTCTGAATCAATACCTAATGTTATTAGGAAGTATCCCTTCTTGTGAAAAAGTTGAATTTATTGAATCTAAAATTGGTCTAGATACTGACAAATGAGCACAGCAGCTCCTTCTATGTCAAATTGTTTTAAATTGGTCTTGTTGGTTTTAGAATTAATGACTTTTAGGTAACCCTTTTAAAATCTTTAAAATTTATCACATATTGAACTGATTTGAAATTTTAGGCTAGTATGGTTTTCTTCTTGATATCTCAATTAAATAATTCTTGTAAGATATTTCATGACACTTTTGTTTTACCACACTAAAGCAACAAATGTCATAAAAAGTCATTTTGTGTTGTTTCTTCTATGATTGATAACAACTTTATTTGTTGACTGTAATTAACTAATGTAACATTTTATTTTTCTGAAATGCTTAAAGTACGAAGTTTTCATGGCTTTGAAAATGCAAACATTTTAAGACTATATACTAAAGTTTTGACCATTTTAAAAATCAGACCTTAAACTAAGCAGGTAGACTTAAATTTAGCAGTTTTGTCATCAGAACATATTTTCACCAGGTTGGAATTTCTATAAATTAGATATATAGCATAGATGTATATATGCATTGCAAAAAGTGGTAAGGTGACAAATGGTAGGAACTATAAACCATGGAAATGATATCAATTTTTAATGAAACTATACACTAACTCGTGATCTGCAGTGCTCTCGAGCAAAGTAGTGTACCTATCACTGGAGGATATTGTGACAACTTTTCCACCACACAAAGAGCTCCTTGTTCCCACCATTTGTCTCTATCTGCCCACAAGGCCTGATCTTCTTTTATCTTAAAATTGTTACTACCTTTTTCTTGCATAAGTATATTGGAACAGTTATTGAAGAAAATTTGTTTGATGCCTATGATTACCTATTATGTATATTTTTTGAATTTGATGATTTGACTTGTAATAATTCAACATTCATTTAACTTTTAGGCATATCCAGTCATACTAGGTGACATTGACAATTCTGGGAGTCTAAGTGCACAAATTATTCACCAGTTTTTGCCAAATTTAAAAAGCAAGTTAGTTGTTCAGGTAAGCAATTTTGCAATTGTTTGTTTTTTGCCAGTTGCAATTTGCCATTAGAGTATCAAATTACATATATATATTTAAAATATTTTAGTTATTAATTGAATATTAATTTAAACATAGGAAAATTATAATCATTATAGATTTGAATGCATACAGCACCAATAAATTGAGCTGTTTAGAACAGAATTTATCTATTGGGTACTCAAGCAGGTCCTTGCCCATCATGATCCTGGACTTCCAAAATGCTGAGCCTATATCTGCCCTGAAAAGTAAGCAACTTTCAATTTGAACACCTCTCGTCATTTAGTTATAATAATGATAATTATAAATATTTCAGTTATTGTAAGGTTAAACTGAAAATGTAAGGTTAGACCCTTTAGGACAGTTTCTGAGGGCTTCTGAGAGCTGTGCATGTGGGATTTTCTTACATTGTAATTTTTTTTCTCTTTCCCTGACTGATAGAAAACACCGGTTCTGGGTCTTTACACACTACAGTCCTGTTTATAGCACAAAAGCAAGGTCATTTAGGTCACCATTATCACCAACATAATAACCAGTATAAATCTCTTGGAGGGAATGATATCTGCCTGCATAGACTATGTAAATGATTTCTTGAGTTAAAGGAGGCAGACTATTTTTTAACTTAGTTCAGCTGATTTGATTGCCCATGTAATTCTGTCCTGTTGTCAAAGTCCCATGTTTGTCACATTGAACTTGTAAATCTCTTTAATACCAGCATAAATCCAGGGCTCTGTTGGCTCATTGACAAACAAGGCCCAGAAGAAAGACAATAGATGCATTGAGGGACTGAATATGAATGGGCTGATTGTGTGTTTTTGAATTAGTTATTCAAAGATGTTTATTTTAAAAGACGACAGTTCAGTTGTCAGAATGCCACCCAAATCCTTTGGTAGAACAATTTTTTAACCCAAAACTGGCAAGTTTAATGGATTTTATAACTTAACCTGTTAAGGGAGCATTATTTCTTTCTCTGTTTTCATAATGGTATAAGGATGCAGTGTTAAGCATGGTTCTGATTATTTGTAATCATTTTTCAGACGCAAAAGTCACAGTTTTCAATGATACAAGCTGATTCTGAATACAGAGGAAAAGATTTCACCAGCACCTTAACTCTAGGCAACATTGATGTTATCAACGAATCTGGTATTGTTATTGCACATTATTTGCAGAAGTTAATGCCTCGTCTTGATATTGGGGCTGAACTTCTTTACCACTACGGAGCTGGACAAGAAGCAGCTGCTCTATCTTTATCAGGTCGTTACACTGCAGATAATTGGGTCGCTGGTGGCACATTAGGCCAGTCAGGATGGCACACTAGTTATTACCACAAAGGCAACGAAAACGTGCAGGTGGGAGTAGAGTATGAATACAATTCTAGAGCTCAAGAGGGTTGCGTTAGTTTAGGCTATCAAGTGGACCTTCCTAAGGCTAACTTTACTTTTCGTGGACTGGTTGATACCAACTGGACTGTGGCTGGCTTTTTCGAGAAAAAGTTGCCTCCTCTTCCATTTACCTTTGTGTTAAGCGGTATGATTAATCATCAAAAAAATACAAGTAGATTTGGTTTCGGATTATTGATTGGATAGAAATCTTTCTTTCCATATAGATATTAGCAGTAGTGCAGAATTTCTTCATCAATGTTCAAAATATCTTTGCAAATGCGTTATTTTTAAATATAACTGTATAGTCCTAAGATGTGAACTTCAATAAACAATGTCACGAGTGATGTTAGTTAGCATGTGGATGAGATCCGCACCCATTTCATCTTATTTCTTATAATTTTCAATGGCATATCGGTATTTATATACATGTAACTCCTTCCTTTCAAATAGTACCGTGGAATGGAATAAGAGTGTTGTACAAGCCTTACAAATTGACATTTGAAGGCTTCCCTCTCTCTCCTTAGTTCTTTAGAAGGCCTTCTAAGCACAACATGTACCCTCAGTCTATCTAAACACAAGCAACAGCGAAAACATAAGATTTTTGGTCCACCACGACGTCAGGGGAGGTTTGCAAGTGTGTCGAAGAAAGTTTGAGAAAGTTTAGGGTTTTATAGGGGGTGGTAGTTACCAAAGAACGATATAAAATTAGAAGTTTCTAATTTCTTTTGAAATCTAGCTCTCAGACGCCTATGTGCGCTACCCTAAAAATGATTTTCCTGCATATTTCACACAGACTTTGTAAAGATGAAAATTCTTGACTGCTAGTTTTGACCCACCTTAGAACTATGTACGACCCAACTTAGAACAGACACATGCTTTGAGTGTTTAGATATATTGATATAGCGTATGTTTTGAATCACGCTTAGAGTAAACAACTTTACTAAGCAGATATAAATTTTTGAATGAATGTTATATTCTTACTCATCAGATGTGCCAGAATTGTTTACAGAAAAGCGTATCTTCTGCGTTATTATCTAAATTTTGTTCTTAAATGCTATGTTGTCAGATCTTTACTTGTTCCACAAAGGCTTCGGCGAAAAGTAAGAAAGGGTATTCGATTGATCTAGATCTGCCAATTTGTTTATCTTTCATTAAGGTGCATTTTGTGAGCATGTAACCAAGTCTGGTTAATCTGGTGTTGTACTGTTCTTTTCATGCTTAATTTAGTATTTTTCATTCATCACTGCCTCTCTTTGAATATTTTTGTAGACTTCAGGCCAAAGTGTACTTCAGAGGGTAAGCAAGAAAATGCTATTGGGTTTTTCAAAAAGATTCAAATTTTTGCTCAGTTCGTTTTTTACGTCTGTGGCTTATAAATTTCAGTTTCCAAAGGGGGCGTTCTGTTTTCTTTTCAACATATGCTTGGCCTCACAGTGGGCCTTCTGTTTTCTTTCTACGTTTGTCCATTTGGTAAATAAAAGGAACACCTAAAAGTTAACACAAATTAATAACCAAAGAATCCATTAACTACTAATACAGAAATACTGAAGTTAATATAAATCATATAATACAGTCACTAATTGCTTGGGACACTTTAAAAAACTCGAAAGTGAGCTATTGAGCTAAGTGTCCCGATGCAAGTAAACTCACAAGTAAACTACAGTAACAATATAATAGGTAGATGCATGCAAAAAAACTATTCAAACATCAAAAGTAAAAGTTACATGCAATGATGTATATAAATCTTCCAAGGTAGCAGGAGAGCTTGGTAGTATCTGGATAAATTAATGTAAATCGTCCTTGATTGTAAACCGAAGCAGAACGTGCCAAAAAATAATTATGAGCCGCGGCTTATAATCGAATAGATACGTTTCTACGTTTTCAAGTAATTAATCGAAAAAGATTTTCAATTCTTTTGTAAGACGCAAGTTATTCTCAAAGGAGGATATTTTGATTGAAAAACAATGCATTCAATCCGCCTGACCCTCGGGACGAAGAAACGTGAACAAAACTTGGATGTGCATCCTTAGTTTCATTTCGTTTGCTGTGCGAAATGAGATGCTGTCTTGACCTGTATCAGGAAAAAAGCGAGAGTTTATTGCGCAGAAATAGTGGTAAGTAGCCTTGTTTTTTTTTAATGAAATCTGTCTAGCTGTTATACCGTGGTGCTCAAGTTATTGGCAAGGTTACCTCTGGATCAAGCACTGTTCTGGCGGAGATATGTCAAATCATGCTAGTTCGCACCAGGCAGTTGCATCACTGAGTGAAGTTACTGTTTGAGAAGTGTTAATACAGGCATATTGAAGGCCAGAAAGGTAGGATACTTTAACCATTTTTAGAGTGTGGATTATGAAGAAATGTTGTCGGATCCAAGTAGGGATAAAGGGATATTGTTCCGCGTGCATCGCACTTTGGGCTGCTTTGACTTAAAGATGTGTCGCATGTTAGAAGCATCTGCAATTCACCTACATGCTTTCAACATTACATCCCGTTTGCAAGTTAACAATGCTTCAAAAGTCCGTCGCGTTTTGATCCATGCTCTGAGGTCGGGAATGAATTAGGGTATGAAATAAGGGGGGATTATAGTCAAGTCCAAAATTTGATAGACGGGGATAAGGAGCGACCTCTTTTATAGTTTGAAGAGTTTTAGAAAGTGATCGCAAGGACATTCCCACTTTTTAATCGAAGGTTTTTGTACAAGGAAAAAGAGGGTTGAAACTGGCTGACAGCTACTATTGTTATTAGGAGGTCTCGTACCTTTCCATAAATTTTAAAAATCCTTTGTTTCCATAGAACAATTCCTTTCGCTCCTATTGTTGTCAATCCTTGGCGACAATCCAATAGATCTATCCTTTTTACATTCATTCATTATTAATTCGTTCATTTATCAATCAACCCTAAATACATTTCTACATAATTATTGTACAACTACTAATTTACAAGAAACCGTACAATATTAAGGAGAATACACTACTATGGAAATTTAAAATCGACTTATTAAGGAGGAGCTCCCTAAATTGGTAAAACTAATCGAGAGCCCAACCCCCAATAAAAACAGAGAAACAAAAATTTAAAACAGCATCAGCAACAATAAAACACGTTTCTGAAATGGGCGGTACTCGTGTGCTACTGATGTTGATATATGTTGATGACAATGTGGTTCTTGATAGCTGACAAACGAAGGCCGTCCGAGGTTATTTTGTTCAAGAGTCACTAAGGAAGAAACATTCTGAGGTAACATGTATCAAGACATCAGAGGCTCGCAATAATAGTATTTTCAAACGGTGATTACCGGAAAAAACACTGTAAAGTGCCCCAAGGACTGATTCTGGCACCATTCATTGCCTTAGCTTTACCAAACATTGATAACTGTGTTGATGCACCCTTATTAAAAGTTTTGCTTCAGAAATATGCCAAATATCATAATTTGGTACAGCCATCCAATGCATTTATAAAATCCAGTCAAATCAGAATTCAATATAATTTAAACATCAACATCGAACCCAGGGTGCATTCGATGTAGTTAGGCCTGAATATGTCCGGCGTGGAGTTACCACAGATCTTCGGCGTGATGATTGAACGAAGTTTTGTGTTTTATGGGAAACCATTTTTGGGAAACCATACTTTCAAAAAGATTTATCAATTAAACGAAATGCAACTTAACTCGAAGGCAAATCACTCTTGGCGTACAAGATTTCCACCAAAATGAAAGGATGAATGTATACGGATTTACTAAGAAAATAGAAGCATTTCCTCCAAAGGTGTGCAGATCCCACAGACCAATACCAAAAATCTGAGTCTTGGATAAGATCCTAGAGATTTGATGAAATGCGAATAGATGGGATGCGACAATATGTTTCTCGTACCGCAAAATTTTGAAGATGACATGCAGAATCATGTTGTTACCAGTACAGTCTCATACCTGTGACGTGAAACATTTTCATTGGATCAACAGCAAATTTTGTATTCAGTATACATAATTAGGTCTTCAGTGGAAAAGTGACATGTCTAATTTCTATTCAGTTTATCAGTATGTTTATTTCATACTCATTTTTTTGGGACACTTGAAATATATCATTCTCAAGCTCTCAAAAAGCCAAGTTATTGTATTCTGATTGAGACAACTGCAGCTTACTCCTTTGACAAAAAATACTACATTTTGTTTGCTGTTGTAACTATATACCTCACATGACATATGTAGAATTATAAAAGAAAGATAGAAGTACAGTTTTATTTGAAATGAAACCTTAAATTGAATGAGTAAATATGGCTTAATCAAATCAATGCTGTGTGCAAGTCTTTAAAAAACTTTGGCCATAAAGAATTTCGAACTGCTTATGCTTGTAAAAAATTTTACAATCCGAAATCTAAACAAGATAAATGCATATGTGTATAATCAAAATTAAAATTTTTTCTTAATGACAATGAAATATATGCCGAAGCATAACTTGTAATTACAATTGAAATTTGAGCTGAATAAGCAGATCCTGAATTTAGTCAATTTGGTAGTGGTAGGAATATGTTCTCAAATTTTGTTCACTAAATAACACTGGACCTGTGAGTGAATAGATCCACACAAGTAAATCCTTGGTGACATCAAAGGATTCTGTAAATCTGAACACCAAAATGAAATGAGTATGGACCAGTGCAGTGGGGATAAATTACAAGTCTTTCTTTTACTAGTTTGCAGACAAATCCATTTAGTCTAGAAGGGGCTGGTTGCTAGAGCTGGGCTGAAAAGTCTTATATAATGACAGAACCTTGCTCATTGAATTCAATTGGCACAGCAAGCCAGCCAAGCTACAGAGCAAACTTATCATAGCTAAAAATTGTGCTTTTTAGATAAACAGCCCATTAAATGGCATAAGAAGTAACCATATAGTCAACCCAATCTGTTTTTGTAAAGCCAAAGAATCTGTGCCTGTGCACAAAAGTTCAAGTCTGTCATATTATGAATAGAAACTCAAGCTTATGACACTATTACTGACTAAACTCAGAATTCAACTTATAACAGATTTGAACTGTATATAATGATTTATTTATGGTAATATTTATATACTATGAACAAAAGATACTGGGAAAAGTCATCTATGACTTTACTTCCTTGATTATATTAGCAAGGTTTTGCCTCATTTTCTCAATAGCTAGTTTCTCAGTTTCATGTCTTTGCTTCATGATCTCTAATGCTGAAACCCTGTCACTCTTTTCAGATGAAGATCGTACTTGGTCTTGTCCATTTGAAAGTCTTCTGGTTCCTTTCCCAATTTTAATGCTTCTTGCATATTCCAGTGCCTTCAAACAAAGTCAAAATTTAATGAGATTAATGAAATCAATTTCCCAGAAATACAATTATTAAATTCGGTTGGAGCTATAGAGTTCTCAAGTGTGATGTCACAAAAAAACTACTTTTAAAACTTTTGAATTTTGGCCACATAACATAGAAGTAAATTTGAAATACTTCCAAATATGCAAAACCAGGCCAATGAGTCAAAAACCAGGTGAGCCAATAGAAGATTTGAAAATTGTTAACTGGTGCTGTTATTTTGGCTCTGTTTATAAAGTTATGTACAGAGACCTAACTACAGGCTAGGTTTGATGAGGCAAGGGCCTGTTCTCATCTGGCCACAATTCTGACAATTTGTTACACCTTTAACTGATTTTGCAAATCTAGAGGTATTTCACAATGCTCTTTCAGGTTAAGTTATCAAAATTCAAAATTTCCCAAAACAAAATTTTGTGATGTCATCACTTCAGAACTTTATTGACCATTGAGTGAATATTTTACATACAATAAAGATGTCACACAATAATATCCCCTTGCCCAAGAAAGATGCCAGACATTAGGTGTTCAGAAACTGCCTGCTGTAGGTCACTTTGGTAGCACCTTTTAAAAATATTTATTCCTGGCACTGTTCAGATTTGACTTGGGTTCAGATAATTTGAAAAGAAAAATAAAATAAAATATAAGTAACATGTACATAAAAACAAAAAATGTGAGCATTTACAGATAGATATTTTTTCTGCTCATAGACAACTGGAAGTAACCAGAGACTAACATCAGACTAGCAGGAGATTTTAATTTTTAAAATATTTTTTGAGAAAATAAACAGACTAGATACTTTCATTATGTAAAAGAGCTGCTTTGATCTTATTTGAATAGAACATTGTTAACAAATAACAATTTTAGTTAATATAGAACGGTTGCAAGAAGCACTTTTGAGTAAGGGTATTCCTCTTGAAACATATGTATTTGATATTTATTCACTTGAACCAGAATCCTTGCAACTCTAAGAAAATTCTTCTTCCATACAAATTTCAAATGTCTTTCTATAGTATTTTTGTATTCTTATATTTTGTTCCATTCTCTGCAACTAGTCTTCATTTAATACTTATACACTTTTGATAGTTTTTTGTGGCTTCTGTATGTATGTAGAAGAAGAATTTTCAAAATGAACTGAACTGAACTCAACTGAACCAAAATTGCTCTAATTTCTCTGCTCTACTATTCCACAAAAAGAAAATCTTACAGCTGTTCTTTTTGACTCCAACTGGCGATCTTTGATTGTTGGCATAGGGGCTGACTTGGCTTTCTTCACCACCAGCCGCTGTTTGTTATATGATGAAACAGCTGATGCATAATCTTTCAGCTTATCTGCTCTTGATTTCTAAAAATTTGATTAAGTTGTTTTACTTTGAATTTTAATTAATAATATGTCACCTCACAGTGCTTAATATGGGCACTGCTTTATCTGCCAAAATAGTATAATGTAGCCATAATAGCTTTAACCCCTTAAAACCCCTGACATCCCAATAATCTACACACTGAATGATAGCAAGGGGTTTACCACAATTTGTTTTCGAATTGGCAAAATTCTCAGTAAAATCAGCTGAGGCTCAAGTTACAAATTATCTTCATCCAAGTCTCCATTTGGTAATGTTTTCTTTCCAGACTGACCCCCAGCCTCAACCCCATTTGGGAGTGTCAAGTCACACAACACGATGTAACCTGTAATTAATTATGAAATTCATAAGTAATGTACATAATAAGTTACCCATTTGGCAGTTCTCTTCTATCCATTGGTTACTATAAAGTTTGATACATAGTTAAGAACAAAAGCTCAATTGATATTTTGCTGAGCAACCTTACCTTCTCCAAATATTCTTCAGATGCTTTGTCAGGTCCTAAGGATCTTTGAAGCTTTATTTCTTTATTCAATGCTTTGTAATCTTTCAAGCTGTATTTTTTATATGAAACTTCCTTCTTTTTGCCAAGATGCTGGGCAGCATAACTTGTCTGGCCATCATTTGGTGATGTGTTTTGCTTGTCAATATTAAGATAATGTCTTTTTGCATAACTTGAGTTCCTGGTATCTTCTTCTTTTTGAATAGATAGATGGTTTGTCCACTGGTGCAACATTGGTTCTACATTTTCTGTTACGCTACATTTGTTTTGGATTGGGTAAGATCCAGCTTGTAAATAACCTGATGAATATTGCATTTCTGAGTTATAATCATCCACAATATGCGGCATAGAAGAATCTAAAATGTTATTTTTCAAGTTTAATTCTTCCTCTTTAATCATATTGTCAAGCCTGGAAATCTGAATATCTTCTCCAAACCTGTTTGTGTCTGTCGGATTTTGTGGCATCATGACATGAGTATTTCTCTCCTTTGGAACAAAATCATTTTCATATTCAACAAAATGTTTATTCCTTACTTCTGGCTGCATAATTAATCCAATATCCCTTTTCTGTTTCAATTCATAATTTTCAATTGGTAAAATGTCACTTCTGTTACTTTGCAAAGGTAGACAAGAAGTATTGTCACCTGCTCTGTTTTCTATCTCATTTGACCCTCTTTTTTCTGACAAGAACTTCTGACAATAAGAACCTTGACTTTTTTTACCAACCTTTATCCTATTTTTAGCAATAAATTTTGGAACAGGCTCTTTATATTTGAAACCTGGTTTTGGGTTAAAATCTTTCCTGGCTGTATCTTCACCAAGATCAACTTGTCTTTTCCTTTGATTACCCAAATCATTATGATTATCTTGAACATTTTCTTGCTTCTGAAAGTGACTTTCACCAGCATGTGATAAATAACCATCTTGATCAAAATGAAAAGGGGGCTCATTGCCTTCCAGTTCGTGTCCGAAATCTGGCATTTCTAATGAATCAGCGACTCCTGTTCTTTCCATATTTCCAAAGTCTTCCTCTAACTTCTTATAATGTCTTTTCAACTCTTCTAGTCTATCAACTTCGTCATCCCTATCAACATGAATATTATCTTCATCGACAGCTGTTTCCAACATGCTACTTCTCTCTTTATTTACAAACTTTATATCTGTGTTTTCATCCACTTCATAATGACTCTCGATATCAGCACTCTTGCCTTCTCCTAAAGTTAACATGTCAAACTTTTGTGATTTAGTGTCCGTTGACGATGACACAGGTCTGCCGACATCACGTTGAATATTTCCCAACCCAAGTGTTTCATTTTCCGAATCCTCCATAAGATACTCGAAATGCTTATCAGAATGAACAGCAATATTATCGCTCATATTCAAAAGATGAAAACTGTAAATGATTCGTTATTTATGCTGGCATCTGGAACACTCACCAAAAACATTCAAAATTTAGGCCATCCTGGCTTCAATCTGCGAAGACAATTTGGGATCCTTTGTAAGAAAATAAATAAGACAAGGTTCCTTTCTTTGAATATTCCCAGAACTTAAAGATAAGCAGCTCTAATTGTTAAGAAATAATCTACACTAACACAAATGATCCTGAAAACACCTCGTGGAAGAAGAAAATCGCGTACAAGTTCAATGGCCGGCCATTTTGTTTGCTTTTGTTGACTCTCAAGTAGCATTGTCAAGGAGACAACAAATGGGAATAAACTCATTGTTGTAAAACAAAAGCCCGCACCTAAACACCTAACAATTTTTTCACTTTTCTAAGAAAACTCACTTTGAATTTTCTTGTCTTGAAAATTTAATCTCAATATTTTTGGTTCGAGGTTGGCCAGGGCAGGATTTATAAACTTTGTTAACAGTTTTGTGAACAATATCAAATCTGTGATGTCCTACTGCATTTGTCATAATATTTCGTATTTAACCATAAATTTGTGTGTAAAACGGTAATTGAACCAGAAAATGTTGTATTTTTCCCATTTAACTCATGTATTAATATGAACACTACATAACAAAGACCGAGATACAACTTCTTTTTCTTTTGGGGGGGGGGCAACCCTGATAAATAAGTGTAAAATTTGGGCTAACGCCCCCCCCCAGTATCTCGGTAATCTTGCTACATGACGAAAATCAGTACAGTTTACAAATATTCTTTGAAGGATCTACTACCAATCAAAACCTAATCTATTTAGAACGCCTTTTACAAAATTTCAATTTTAAATTGAAATATTTTGGCAAAATATAAAGATTATCGTTAGCCCATCGTTTGGCCAGCACCAGGGCCGTAAATCCAAGGGGGGACGGAGGGGACTGGACCCCCCAAATCTAGAGCAAATGATTCTTTTTCAGAAATTATCGTGATTTTCTTTTAAAGAAAAGAATCCATGGTAGCTGGGTTAGAACTAAACTAAGTTTTTCTATGTTATTGCAACAAACCTCAGCCACTATGTCATGGTGTCAAGTGCGAAATGTCTATTTTTGATGACTGTGCTCAAAGGGCAAATCGCCCCAAATATCTTATACACCAGTCCACCCTTGAATAAATCTAAAAAAATATGTCAAAAAAGACTCGTTTAAGTCACCATAAATCTCGACAAATCCAAATTACACAAATATTCATTACAAGCCTTTTTATAAATATCCTAACTGAAAATCTAATTCTTAAAGTTCCTCATTTATGGATCTCTATTAGTTGAATTGTGGAACCAAGATCTCCATAATAGCTTCTTAATTTAACTGCTAATTTAGTGACATGAAAATAGCATAGACACAAAAAAAGAAATTCTGAGTTTTTTTCTCACTGTATCTAGAAAAAAAGGCAAGAGACAAAGAGGGCAAGAATTAAAAGTGAATTGCGCCAAAGTACTACGCCAATGAAGAAATACCTTTGCATTTAATAAAGAGAGAGGCAATGACTACACTCTTTATTATTAGAATACTATGAATTTTGCCCAGCCTCAATGTTATTGAGAAATTTTCTTTTTGAGCCCGAATAGGTTTTGATATATCCTTATTTTTTTATCCAATATTGCCTCAGGAATAAAGCCTTCTCTTGAATAGAAAGCACACGTTTTGAAAAAGCGAATAATGTCAGTATTGAGATTCTATGTTGTGAAAATTTCGAAAAAAGCAACTACCGAAAATGTGCACTCTGAGTCAAAGATCCCCTATTTTTCCTCTCCCAACGTCTGTCAATAGAGTTTTAGCATGACTCTTCCCCTACCCTAAAAAATTTCTTTCGCGTCGGACCCAACCATGGGACCGCGTCGGTCCTCCTACGTATATCCATCAAATTTTATGGAAGTCATGTCTTAAGAGTTGCTGTAAGTACCTTCTATAGAGCTGAAAATTCTTAGTAAATCGAATAATCTTGATTTTAGTTTTCTAAGTCGTTTTCTCCTCAAACTGTTTCCACAAAACACTTACCATAAATTGCTTGGTGGTGCCATGACCCACTGCACACTTTATATTCATTCGTTCTGTTGACTCCCCCAATTGACATGACAGATTTATGGTCTTTGCCAGCACGCCTTTGTGAATCTAAATTTGTCACTTTTGAAGCATTAACAAGTTAATAACAATATATTGAAGTATAGAAATGACATGTTCTATTTGGAAACTATTATAAGAAAAATAATTTATAACAATATACCTTAAAGCTTGTTAGCTGAGGAATACATGAGAAAACCTCATAACAAGCTGTCAAGCCATGTATCCTATTGGAGTGTTTACAGGCATCGTGCAGCCGTTGGGCTAGCAGGGCCTATAGCCCCCTCCACTTTTTTGCAATAATAGGTAAGACAATTTTGGGAAAGTTTACTCTAACGAAACTTTTATCTAATGGATCTTCAGAAGTAGCAGTTCTTCTTGACTGGGAACCCTTTTTGTTTACTTTTTGGTGTATTATATTGTTATATCTATTTCTACAGTAATTGATAGCTTCTCTGAATCAGACTGCTTATAAAAAGTAAGTTGAAAGAAGCAAGACTTCTCTAAAAGGGACGTTTTCCTGGGCTCTTAAGGGCGTGGCCTCAACGATTTTTGATCACTCCCTTTTCGGCCCACCCACTTTTAGACCGGTGCGCGGTGCCTGTGTTTTGCAATCGACTTAGATTTAGTTTGAATATCCAACAGTAGAAAATCACTAAGTATAAATAAGAATCTGTACAAATGAAATAACAAGGTGGACAAAACTGACACAGAAGTAACGCAATGATATTTGAAAGTAAAATAGAAAGGTAATACCGATATGTATCTGTTCAAAAGTTTTGTCCAGGGTTTGCTATTTATCATTTACAGTTCCGCTGACACAGAGTTTCATCGTTTTATAAATATAGTTTTACAAATGCCACTTTTATCAATGAAAAATAATTTTTCTTTTTTTATCAGTTACAGTTCCGCTGAAACATAGTTTTTTAGTTTAATGCCAGCAAAAGTAAGATTTTTTTAGTTTGTGGAGACTGTTGGAAGAGAAAAATATATTATGTGAGTGAAGATTGTCTTGTATTATGATTGTAGTTGTAACAAAAATAACATTTGACGTGCAGCGTCAGCTTAGACGTCTCATCTCAAACATATAAATTTTTTGAAAGTTAAATAGCTTTAAAAACGTTTATGAATAGGTTTCTAAATAGGTTTTAACCATTTATAAATAGGTTTACTGTGAGCAGCATTGTGTGCAATGTCAATAATACCCTAAAAATTTTGCTTAGATTACGTTTTCAAGGTTCTAGTGTGGATTTACGAACGAGCACTGCAACAGTCAAGTTTGCCAACAGAGTACATGAGATAGCTCAATTGAAGAGATTTAAGGTCCCTCATTTGGCAATCTCATGTACTCTGTGTACCAGGTCTCCTTGTTTATTTCAACGCGCAGTGATAACCAATTTTGGCAGTGATAAATCGTGATTGTGCATGCAGCAACCACCCGTAGACACAAAAAGCTTATAGCATTACAATATTAAGAATGAGAACATAACAGTAACAATGACTATATTCTATCAAAACTCTATAAAATTTTCTCAGTACCTAGAAGCTGTCTAGTTTGCTCTGTCCTTAAAAACATTTTAAAACCTAGACCACTTTTTCCTCATTAAGATATTTTGTAAAAACTTGGGTGAAAGCTAAAATAATACCAATTTTTTGCTGAGCCTCAATATCTTTAAATTTGTTTTGATTTTGAGCCTAAGATTGTTCTTAAATTTTCCTTAAGCAACATAAGGTGTAACTAAGTCCATTAAAGCGTCTATGACTCCAAGGGAGGTTACGTCTATTTCCAAACATACAGTATATCGTGAAATTCGCATTTGATTTGCGTTTGAAGAAAACTCAAGTAAGCAAGAAATTCGCTTCTTGAAGAAGCTTGAGCCTTGCATTATTCTTCAATTATTCTTAAATCAAGGCGATTTGAGACTTTATATTCTTATAGTCTTAATTCTTTGTTCTTATATTTAAAAAGTGTGTAGGAAAACGTCGTACACAGGTGCGGTCTGATTCGGGTGGCAAAATGGCGATCGCCACCCGGGCCCACAGACATGTAAAGAAAAATAATAACGGACCCTTTATGCAACAGTTGAAGAGGATAATTTTCATCAACTGAAATACTACAGTCAAAGCCAAGGTCCCTAGCATGCGTGCTGGCTTAACAACCACGTTGGGAAATGAAGTCTGCGCGCCTTCCACAGGGCTCCACTATGACCAACTTCTACTACAATGCTTATTCAGTTACCGGTCTTCTCGGGACACGGGAGTTCAAGATTCGCGCGGAAAATCCGAAATTCCGGATAATTGAAATTATACGAATAACGGCACAAACCAACATTTCTAAAAAAGACGAACGTTATGACAGTTTGTTTCTATGCACACATTACAATCTAATGCACCCAATACTCTGAAAATACTCATAAAATATTTCAAAAAGAAAGCAAGAAAAACGCTCCCGACATATCATCAAAAATGCTGAAAATTTCCTTAGATTTTTTCAAAATTTTTACGGACTGGATAATCGAAGTCCGGATAAACGGTGGGTTAGATAACTGAATAATTACTGTATATAGAATATCTATTTCAAATTTTGCACAAAGTCAAGACTGTCCTACTTCCTAGCAAAATAATTTGAAACTGAATGTAATAGAGATCAAGGAGCTGTTGTTTTTGGGTAGTTGTCTGGAGTCACCATTGTTATATTTTTAGCAAATAATGACCTTCCAAGAGTCATATTACTTTAAGTGAAGAATGTTTTGTAAGAAGACAGCTTCTCGAACTGAGAAAAGCGCCTAAATTTTGGAATCAATTTTTGCGAAAGGAGCACATAAGATCTTTCGCAAAAACAAACTTTCGCGTTTTAGTGAAAATCATGAATTTTGCGCAAAAAAATTCTATTCAACTGACGTTTCCTTCTATTTTTAATTCCACGTGATACCAGCAAAGCAATTAATACAATATTCAAGTTTTTTCAAAACAATCATTCGTAATTAAAGTTTCAAAGAGGATAAACAGCAAAATTTTTTGGGTATTTCACAAAAACAAACTTTTGCAATTTTAGTATTTCAGGTAGTTTTGCGTATCAAACATTCGCAATTTTAGGCCAAAAGGCTAAAAACACCTAAGTTTCTTCCCTCGAAAGTTTCTTCCCTTAAAGTAGAAAGCAACTGTCAAAGCCCTCACCCGACTTCCCTTTAAGTTCTTCTTCCATCTAAAACCCTATGAATGGTGCATGTCGAGAAGTTTAATGTTTGCAAATTGTTTAATGAAAAACTTGTTTGAAATTATAAATTTTGGTACAGGCTAAATTATCGATTTCAATTTAAGTTTTCTCAATGATGTTTTAGCGTGAATAAGTTTGCAGGTAACTAAATTTGTAGCCATAATTCTAACCTAGACAAATGAAAAGGTGATACATGCAAGAGCAGAAATAGCAGGTTGAATTCTTGATTTTTCTTGGCTCAGTTTCAGAATATTACATGTACTAGGTTCGCTTGACATTATTGCTAGAGGTGTTAGACTAGAATTACTATTTTGAACTGTTATTAGAGTTTCTTGGAGTTACAAACAGAACTTTTGTTTTGCTGTTATTGTGCAAGGTTTGATTGCACAGAATCCTTGATTTAAATAGTGTACAGCATCGATCAATTATTGACTTGGATGGAGCGTATTTAATACTTTCAATCTTTTGGTTGTACAAAACTTAAAAATGACTTTGAAAAAAGTAAACACTTGAGTCTACTAAATTCGTCTGACACTCTTCAGAGTATTAAACGTCAGAACATAGATCAAAAACCCTACGCTAGGAAATATATATACCCAGTTGTGGATCGAAATAGGCCAATTAGAAACGCGAGCACATGACTGTTGAGGTTGCCCAATCAGTGCCGCTTGCCTATAGAGATTGTTAACAATGGAGTCCTAATGAGAAAACGAACATGAAATTTACAATGCAGGCACAATCGACACGAAAATTGTACTCATATTTTTGAAGTATCGTGATAAGTGCTAATCTGCGCTCAATAATTTCGTGCTATGAAGTATGGAACAGTTTCCAAAACGGGGCAAGATTGAAGTTCTTGTACCACCATTCTTCATGCAATCCGTGTAGTGGAAAGGAAAGTATTTCTGACTTTCCATGTGCTTAGGAAGGACGGCTAAATGCCACTTTGTGTATAATTAAAATGGCAACAGTTAAAAGAAGTAGGTATCCAAGTAAACAAAAAATTTCTTCTAAAAATGACACCATCAAGTTATCAAGTCAAGCATTTTAATGCTATTAGTGGCTTCCTGAATATAGAAATTCATGCTGGAAACCATGAGATTCAAATCATGTCATCAACGTAAAGAAGTTGATAATTATCATATCATCATAGTAAAGCTTTACAAGCTCGAGACTAATATCTTTTTCACCCCAGATAGCTTTCTAAAGCTTTGCTATACTTACTCTTGATTTTGATACAGCAATTTACTCTCTCGATATACATGGACTTCAACATGTCAATACGTACAATTGCGGTAAAACGAGATTAAAAGCTTTTGAATGACCGTACATAAACTATTTAAACCTTTTCTATATAATACTATCAAGATCTTGCTAACATGGATAAGCCATTACCTAAATCATGTGCAAAAGTCAATCGTGCAGTAGTGCTAAAAGATGGCATCAAATTTATTGCAGTCCTAACAATGTTTGTGGTTCAATTGCGTCTCACCTTCATTTCAGAGAAATATATGGTACCATAGCGGTCGTCAATGGGTCTCCATGACATAGTTGTATATGCCTCATACAGACTGCTTGGATATCGTCCGTTAAGATAGCCTATATGACAAATGCCATACCACCAACCACCAAAACCACGACGTGGACAATCGACACGAGTCTCGTCGTTACGATCGAATGTTGCGAATTTCCTACCATTGTGCATTCCAGAGAGAGCATCCCCAGCTGTTCCTGAATATTGAGCAACATTCAAACGGAAACCATCTGTTTCACTGCCAATCTTGAAGCTGCCATATTTTGCAAAAAGTAACTGGTCTCTTTTATGTATATGTTTTAACTCAATGCGAAGAGTGGTGCTTGCATCAGGTCTGGCAAGAGAGTGCATATTCTCGAGGCCAATCCACAAATTCTTTTCCACAGATCCAAAACCAAGTTTGTAATCAGACCAATTGCGGTTGAAATCAGTTGATGGATCAACACGGCGCTGTATTACAGTCCAACCTCCGCAATCTGTTTTCATATCGCAGTAAACCTTTAAGACCTTCTTGTTTGGTGTGTTGATATCATATACTCCGTTTCTTCGTATCCCTCGGTCATACAAATCCTTGCAACTAACTGGATAAAAAAAGAAACGTGTAAGTGATCCAGTAAAAAATTTTGCATTTTCAGCTTCGATTAATTGATCCTTATATTTCATCAAATACAAAGATTGAAGAAAAGGGATATTGAAGAATTAATTAATTTTTGAAAGACCGAAAGTAAGCGAAAGTAAGTTCTTCTCTTCAACCAGGAGAGAGGTTAGCGGTCGCTGATTGGTGAAAACAAAATAACCAATCAAACTCGTTTTTGCTGTCACGTTACTTTCGATCTATACCTGAATACAAGCTTTTAGCTTACTTTCGATCATTATCCGATGTTTATAATCTGAAGAACGTCGAACGAAAAGTACTTCAGTAGGCAATGTTTCCGGTAGTTTGTGCCATCCTCAAATTTTGCGCTACCAAAATCTTATTTGAATAATGAAATATATGATTTAAAGATACTTAGATGAATAACGCAATTTTTAAGCCAGGGTATAAGAAGCCAAAGAGCTCCAGAACAAAACAGTAGATAAAGAAGAAATGCTTATACTGTAATGCCTCAAATAAGCGCCCGGGCGCTTATTTAATTTGCGAGGCTCCAGGGTGGGCGCTTATTCGAGAGAGTTACTCAATGGAGGGGGCGCTTATTTAAAGAGCAGATTTGGGTGCAAATTGTGTTCTTCATTAATCTTTCGTGATGAATTGCTTTCCAATTTTGTTTTCGTTGGAAATTCGAATAAGCGCCCATTTCTGAAGGTTGAAGGATGGGCGCTTATTTGAGAACGGGCGCTTATTCGGAGGGGGCGCTTATTCAATAACTTTACCTCTAGGGTGGGCGCTTATTCGAGGGGGGCTCTTATTTGAAGGGGGCGCTTGTTCGAGGCATTACGGTATAAGAAAGTAGAATAAATTGATAGTCTAGCTGTTCAGAAGCACAGCAAAGATTAGAACAAAATTTTAGAAAGCTAAATCGATTATATTGCAACTCTTGAGAAAGATTGGAGCTTAATCGAGCTTACCGAACAAATGAGACGTGAGCACATTAGGTCTAGCACAAAAGACCGTCTTGTTGCACATATCTTGATTCGTTGCTTCAATACTCTTTTTCAAACAAGCCCTTCCAAATGTTTTAGATACCTTAAGCGCGCATTTGGAAGATCAACAGTTTCCTATCACCTTACTCCGCTATCCTTACTCTGCTAGCAATACTGACCATGGATTGATCGGAAAGATTTATCTCTTAATTATGCGACAGGAGCTATTTGGACAACATTGAATCTGTCAGATTCATTTTCAAAGATATTGTTTGAAGAAAGAGGGAGACAAGTTTGAAATTCGAAAAAATTGACAGTAAAGAAAACAAACTATTGGAAAACATTATATCGTGGAAAAATGTCAAAAAAGTCAAAAAATTCTTAATAAGACATTAACTCCTAATTTTCTCTAAAACCTACATCTATAAGTAAACAAACAAATTGTCTCGAAAACATAAAAATGCTCACATGCAGGCTTCTTTGGTGTTCTTTTCCATACAACATTGTAACTTTCTTTATCTTTCAAAGAAGAATCTTTGGTGTTGATTTGGTACTCTTCTGTAGACTGTCTTTTCATAACGTGATAACAGGTCGCTCCCCGATCACAGGAAAAGAAATCAGGTTTGATGAATGCTGTCTCCTTGTCCAGGTTGATTTCTTCTTCTCGTTTGTCTTGTTGGAAGAAGCTACCAAATGTTGCAAAGCTGCCTGAATTATTGATTTCTGCAGAAATTTTGCAAATTTGAAGACACAAAATGTACAAAATGTACTTCCCCATAGTTTCGCACTGTAGTTTTACTTTCCGTCTCTCTCAGTCATCAGAAATTTAATGCGTTGTTGTTGTTGTTTTCGTCAGTTACTAATACACAGCACAATTAGATTGAGATGTATTCGATTTTCCTCTCCTCTGTACCATATCTATGCTGGTGTCCACAATTCGTCTACCCAGGTCACAAGTTCTTCTTGCGTAAAACCTATTCCTGCTTGAATTGCACAGCAGTCTGGATACCTGAATAATCAATAATCTCAGTTTGGATTACTGAGCTTCTTGACCAGGTATTTAACCAAAAACAAGCAGTAAATCAGATGTGGCTTTAGGAAAGAATTCTTGGATAAATTGCTCTTGAAAAAGTCATATTTTTAGAAGTATTCAGAAGATCGTTTCCATTCATGTTGATTTATGCTCATTGTCGCTACCAGTCCCTGGGAATCTTTTATGGTAGTTCGTTCTTCTCTATGTTTTGGGAAGTTTCACATCCTTCTCATGTTGTGAAAATGAATTGAAATTAAAATTGATCATTTTGCAACAAAGGTAGAAATTATTTTTGGCAATGGCGTCCAGATTTTTTAATTCCGAGCTCGAGCATGTACTTATCGTTTTAAACTCAAGCATCGACGTTAGAAACAGTCTGAGCGAAGAATTTGAAGCAAAAGCTCGCGAAAGAGTTTTGTCATGGGGCTAGGAACAAATAATGTATAACTCAGCGTGCTGCTAAATTCTTTGAATCATCTTTTACTTTAAAATTTTTATAATTCTCATAGCTATTTCCTAAAAATGGATTGAAATGAATATATTGGGAGCATTAGGCTCACAATTCTTCTAGCTTTTGTTTCAGAAATCTTAACGTGGACTAAAGTTGACTAGGCAGTATGAAAATCAACTAACTAATCGACTTAACTGTTCTGCAGTTCCCGTTTCTTTGCTTACCAGTTACAGCTCTCAAATTCAAATTTTTTTTTCAGCTACAAGAAATCAAATGTGAAATATACGAAAATATGAATTAATTACGATATTAGAGATATCTAAAACATCCTACTGATCATATCTACATTACAATTTGAAATAAATGTTGACGAACCATGGGAAAAACAAATTTGATGGCTATCTGGGGCATGCACCAGAACGACGTATGTTGAAGTTGATGAACGTTTAGCTTGAAGAAAAGGATAAACAGCAAGAAATAAACCATAAAAAAAACAAAGCTCATAAAAAAGAAAAATTGCCTATAAAGATGGGAAAGAAAAATTTTTGGCTTAGAAGAAATAAAGTAAACAAGATGAAATTTTGGAAATAAAGCATAGACACCAAATTAAACGATCAAGATCTAGTTTGGGAACAAAGCCGCAAGTTCTTCTTGCGTACAACCTATTCCTGCTTGAATTGCACAGCAGTCTGGATACCTGAATGATCAATAATCTCAGTTTGGATTACTGAGCTTCTTGAACAGGTATTTAACCACAAAACACGCCCCAAATCAGATGTCGGTTCAGAAAAAAATTTCTTTGAGATATTGCTCTTTATATAGTCATTTCTTTAAACGAATTCAGAAGACTGCTTCCATTCATGTTGATAACTATTCTATTTTCGTTGTCCCTTTTCTATGTTTAAAACAAAGCTACGTCGAACATGGATTGAAAATGTCTGGGGTCACTTGTTTTGTAAGAGAAACTGTTTCATTCTTCTTCTAAAATAATGCGCGGGTTTAACTGCAAAGCATCACGATTAACTTCCTTATATAGTCGACTTAACGATGGCATCACTCAAATGAGCGCATTCTTGAATACGCTCCCATTATCGATTTATATAACTTGGCATTTCATTATAGCTCGAATATTTACATAAAAGATAGGCAGTATTGGGATTCTGTTTAGGTAGGCAAGATTTGGACTCTGTTTTACTAAGCCTCTGTACCTATCTATGTATGCAACAACCCGTTTGATGATGTCATATCTATTGGCACAATCTTGACTGACACTTAACAGAAAAAACTTGTGCTTCAACATAGGCAACACTTTCAATTCTTTACTAATAGTTGATTGATTACATCAGCATAAATCTCAAATCCCTGATTGACTGACATGTATAGTAGTGGCGACTTGCAGCGGTACTTGTGGTACCAGTCTAGTACCAGTCTAGTACCATTTTAGTTTGAAAGATTTTTTTATTGTACGATTTTGCTTTTTTCTATGATAATTGAATTAATGGCAATAAAAGGAATAGCAGCGGAATACATCATATCTTAATTCTAACCCTGCTCATCTTAATACTCATTAAAAGATTGGCACCACAGTCCTAGACCTCATTCATCCAGTACTGCAGAAGTCTGTCCCATTGTCATTTCTGACTCAACGTGATATAAAACTGTTTGTCTTTTGATAATCCAACAATGAAAAAATCGTTCGCAGTACTAGATTCCTCTTTCTAGTGATAAAATGCTGTGATGACTAAAAACGACTGAAAGTGGACTTTCGTGGGGTCTATTTATGGTCTTTTTTCATCTAATCATCAAAACTCATTTAAGCATCAAAACTCAGAGAGAACTTTTTCACTTTAGGTAAAAATCCTTACAGAAAACTGACTTTCTTACCTATCAATTTCAAATTCAAAATAGATGCAATCTCTGGAAACAAGAGGTTGAGAATTGGAAGTAAAAATAGGAAAGAAAAGATTTTTTAACCAAATAACAAGATCATAATAATTATTACATCTGCTAGCGATGAAAATAATTTTTAAATGCTACTCAAGGAAAACTTCAAACATAAGTAATAGCTATTGCAAACTAAAAAAATGAAATTTAATGCCTATATATTTGGTTTAAGCTTAATCAAAAATGTAACTATAGGTAAAACTTCAGTCCTCCTGTCCTGCTGGACTTCTTGGCTTTGGTGAACGAGAAGGAGATCTGGAATATGCACGTCTGGCAGGTGACCTAGATCTGGATTTTGACCTTGACCTTGACCTTGATCTTGGTGACGGTGAGCGTCGCCTGGGTGACCTAGATAATGATCTTGATCGTCCACGCTTGGCAGCTGGGGAATCCTACAAAGAGCAATTTAAATGAAAGTTATCAAGGGTGCAAGTCCAATGCAAGTCAAAAATACGACATTCAAACAGCAATTTGTCACCATCAAATATCAAACTAACCATGCCTTATCTCAGAATAAAATTGTATAGCTGGGCTAACAGAAAATAGAGAATGCTGACAACACTTCACACGCTCTTAAAAAGGTTGCAACATTCAATAATGGTTTAATGAGCATTTTTTCCAACTTACCAATAATGGTTAACTAGCCTAAAACTGTTTCATGTGAAATGTCATAATACCCAAAGAAAAGCAAAAAAATTCAGGTTCTGTGACATAGCAAAGAGCTCATTTCAAATAGGAATTAGGAATGTTAAATATGAGAAGAAAAATTTCTCCTCATTTAAAATAATAAGGAACATATCTGTTTATGTAAGGAACATTTACACAGACTATCACAATATTTAGGTGGAACGAATTGGATGATTGCAACACTAGTCAAAATCAGAACTTTAGAATAAGATTTTATCCATTACCTATTGAAAGAATCTATCCTATATATTTATGTAAGTATATGGCTGCAAATAAGATGACTCCTGAGTTTCATCATGGCAATGCAATACTTACATCAATCAGATGAATCCTTTTGCCATAAAGTGTAGAGCCTTCTAACTTGCTCAGTGCTGTTTTCATATCTCGGTAGGACGAAAATTCAACTACCCTAGAAAAGAATGATAACAAAGTTATGTGCTGCTGTGCTTACATAGTAAAATGTAGAGCCCATCTGTTGGAGGGAGGGGCTGTAGATGTTTGTGACACTTCATTATAAGTTGCTTTGTAAGATATTCAGTTGGTTTTATAAACTTGTTGTTTGGTTGGTAAACCCCTCCCCCTAGATTGAACATTAATTAGGAGCAAAATTTTCTTAACCTACTCCAAGATCACAAAAATTCTAAAGAGCAATGTTTTACTTGTTTACTAAAACTTCTAGTGTTGAGCACAAAACATAAGGATCTTTGCAACATATTAATGCTGTTACAGTTGTGAAAATATGTAATTTTTTAAGGACAATTCAGGCTACACAAGTGACTGAATCAATGGGATGTTTTCTTATGATACAAAACAGCTCTAACCTACCCTTCTCCAATTTTTTCTCTATGACATTTTGTGAATGAAACCTCTCCTATTTGCCTGAAATGATCCTTCAGATCCTAAAAAATAGAATATAAAATACTCACATGTATGTTAGCATTTAAAAAGCAGTATATCTTCAAATGATACTCAACAGCCAGACAAGTTTAGTGCATTCTAGACACTTAAATGATAAAAGCTGGTTTTGACAATAGCTTGAGTTGATTGTATCAAATGCTGATTTTGTATTGAAGACTTAAACTTTAAGTTACCAAGCTCTAGGGAGGTAGTGTTAATGATTACTGATGAATCTTACGACTCTACTGAAAGATTGAATATATACATAATTCATTTTTCTAAAATTGTATTCTAATGAGTAACTCAAGAAAAGGTATGTTTATGTGTACAAATAAACATGAGATATGTTACTCATGCCCTGTCTTATGTATAGCTCTATCTTTTGGATTTCTGATAACAAATTACTCACCATGACACAAAAACCAAATTTAGCCAATGGCGATAAGAATATTTGGTCCAGTAACAAAGATGTCACTCTGCAGTTGCCAATGATTTACAAACAGAAAGACTCCTTATATACAGCCAGAACCAGTACTGATAACAAGTAAGATTTTGAGCCAAACCATGAACACAGTTTTACCCCAGAGAATCAATGATTGGCCACATAGGAAAAATTGTTCTTAAGTATACCAAAACGAGGGACCAGAAAGTCATACCATATCCAAGGAAAGATTATCTATACAAAGTAGGAAAATCAAGACAAAATGAATATAAGTTTGGTCATAAAAACTAAACAGATACATCAAACTGAGCTATAATGATTATTTTAACAAGTGGTTCTCAGCTTAAGCACAATAACTGTGGATAAGACAACTGAAAATAAAGCACTGTTAAAAAGGCTAAATTCATTTGGATGAAGAGCAGAAGCACCACAATTTGACACAATAGATAAACAGAAGAGAGCAGACCATGGATGCTAGCATTTCACATGTTGCTAGGGGTATTGATATTTATATTAAGGATTGTGCAAAATATGAATCTTTCAGCATTCTACTACTTGGCTACAACATAGCTTTATGTATTCTTTGTCAAATCTATAAGACAACCTATAATTTAAACTCTGCTGTTACTAGCCTGGTTTGCACACACTGGCAGCTTGTATGTTGGGGCTAGTGGGGCTCAGCCCTACACAAGATTTCCAAGCTTCAGTTTTAGGTTTATATACTTAGAAATAATAGACATCCATCATAATTTTAGCAGCACTCTTCTCTAAATTTGTAGCTTTACGGTCACACTGGGCTGAATCTTTTCAAATTGGTTCATAAAATAAAAGTGATACAGGAGAACTGTGTCACTGTCATCAATCCAAAATCCTAAAATCCAAAAACCATTCAGTTTATAATATACAATCAAACATCTTCAAAAGATTTTTCAAGATGCCAACACTTTAACATACTTTTGACCTTAAATATTGTAGATACAGACCTGCCAACCACATCGAGTGGACAAATTTTCCACAATCAGTCTGTTGTCTGTGTTAAATGGGGCTCCATATCGACTACTAAAATATAAAAAGATCTCTAAACAAAAATCAACACACCAAAAAGCGTGAATTTAAGAATAGTCAAAAAGTGTTTATCAACCAAAACACATCATATCATATCTAAAGGGGATACAAAAGTGGGTAATATAATTCATTTGTAGCTAACATTCTGATTAATTTGTTGACTTTTAGCTTGTAAATACTTCTAAATGAATTTTGCTTTCAGTACTGGAATTCTTTATATGATATCACCTGACCTTACTTGAGATTTTCAAGTTGATTGTCTTCACTTCTTTCTTTTATAAAATACGAGATTATTAAAAATTACCATCATAAGCATGGTAAGGGTGATGTTTTGTTAAAAAGTACTTTCGATTTCCTAATTGTATTTAGAAAAATTAATGTGCCTATCAAATGGTTAATGTCACAGACTTCCAATTTTTAACATATTGTTTACCACTGACTAACAACATACCTTGAGGGTCTTCTCCCACCCCCATGTTCTCTTCTACCACCCCCATAACCAGGTCTGTTTGGTTTTGCATGATCAAGAATTATTTTTGTTCCAAGAAGATCTTTGTGATTCAACTCGTACACAGCATCGTCAGCATCTCTGTAGTCAGCAAACTCCTATGAAAAATATAATGATGATAACAAGAAAGTTATAATTTAAAACGTGTTTATATGTAAAAAGATATGTAATCTAGACTATCTAGTAGACAGGCACTATACAACAATGAAATACTCAGTCCCTGCCTACATGTAATAACTTACAAACCAATCGCAAGACTCTGTAAATTTCTAAGAAAAAATTTCTGACTGTTGTCTTTCCAAAACCTTGATAAAATATACAAAATGTACATAGATACATAGCCTACATTCCCTAAATAGAGGTAGTTAATGATTAATTGATCGCAGAAAATAACAATGAACGCAGGAAAAGGAATAATCAGAAAAAAGTTGCGAAGACTGGCATTTGTAACGCTCAACTACAAAGATTTTTAAGCAGGCTTTGCTAAGGCATTGCTAAGGGTGGTTTTTGCTGTCAAAAAGATAATTGTCGAGCGAAAATGGTTGCTTATGGTGTGAGACTAAACTTTGAAGGAAACAAGGAAAAACTTGTAATCAACTAACGATCGAAAATAGATAAGCGGTGCTTACGATAAACGCAAAACCAGTTTTGAGTGTGATGTCCCTCACAGCTTTCGAGAAGCCAGCATCTTTGAAAAAGTCCTCAAGATCCCGAAGTCTAGCGTCTCGCGGAAGTCTTCCCATGAACACTCTATGAGAGCTAGGACTTCTGCTTCTACGTTCGCGACTCATGACTTGTTCTTCGTTAGGGAAAGTCTAGCGTTTTCCTCCCAATTACAGCACTCAGTTTTTGCAAAGATGTCGAAGACAACGCAGATGGAAAGAAGAGAACACTCTGCACATGCGCGCGACGATGATGACGATGCTTTTGTTGAGCATCTGATGATGATGATGATGACTCAATTCAATTCAATTCAACGGGCTACGTGCAAAAACAGTTGAGGCAGAAGAAGAGACACGAAATTTCGTCGAGAGTATTAAATTGCAACAAAACCATCGATGAAACCAACTATTGAGCAAGATGAGATGTTTCCAGAAGGTGTCAACCCACCAGGCTGGGAATTAGAAGAGGTAAAATCATTTCTGAGCTTTCCCACAGTGTGTTAATAACATTTCTTTCTCGGGAACCCCGTGTGACACCAAATTTCTTAGAGAGTTGAGAATATTTAATATTAAACAATATACATTGGAGACCCCCCACTAATTTGCAAAACAATGGAGCTTTCTCAAACTCTTTTGTTATGAGTGATAAATTTTTCCGGTCCCCCCCTCCCCACTTTCCAACCTGTTTCGGAGCCAATGTTATATCATTTCTATAAATATGTTCATGTTATTAAATTTCTGCTTACAAAAATGCATTCATGAAAATAATGAATTTTAGTAGAAATGTTAATTATGGCCAACCCTCTCACCATCAGTTGTTTCAAATGCATTCTGGTCAACCAAGAAAAATTTTGATACCGCCTTATTTAACATTTTTACTCATATTTAGATATTAGAATTGTAAAGAACATGGATGTAGCCTGTAGTTCTATGAAAAGAATAAGGATAGTGTGTTCGACAGAAAATACCACAAAGCAACAGAAAGGCAATAAATTGGTTGACTTTTGACATTGAGGGGGTGGTCCTTTAGAACAGCCCCCATCGATAGGAAGGTAAGGTCACTTACCCAATTTTGTCAGTAGCTATTGATTTTAAGCTTGTGGATTAATTTGAGGTGATATTTGCAAAGCCTTATTTGCTAAAATAGCCATTTTCCTACCTCTGTCTGGTTAATGTAATCACAAGCAAATGAGGATGTTAAAAGATATGCCATGTTTTTGAGTTTTTAGTTCTTTTCACATTCTTTTACAGTCTGGGACTGCAAGTTTAATTGAAGTTGCAAGTGAAAGGACAGTTCACAGTGATTTTTTCAATGGTAAGTGGGTCTTCAATTTTATTTGTTTCAGCTTGTCAAGCATGTATTTCAAAATATCTATAATTGCAGCAAGTTAACATTGATGGTTCATGGGGACCTCGATTCAATCCCTATCTTTGTTGACATCTTTTCATAATCCTATAATTTAAAAGTAATTTTTCAGCCTGGTGTTAAGGTCTTGTTTTTAATTTCTTGGTAGCTTGAAATTCAAATTGTTGAAAAGCCTCAAACTAAAGGTGTTTTCAGCCATTCAATTCAAAGGTTGGCACATTGTTGACATGCAAGGGTATAAATGTTTATGTTTGGGCAACGTTCAGAAATGTTGTGCAGTTTAATGCAGCATATTGCTTTTTCATGAATGAATAACTTCCAGTCTATAATAGAGGAAGAGGGACGCTGAGCAACAAGATGCTGTAGAGCTATTGCACTAATTGTATAAATTGGTATATTCATAAAATGAATGTATACGAATGATGATGGCAGGGCTAAGACTTCGTTGAAAAAACACTAAACTACCCCCTAGCAGGTTATTTACTAAATTTCTATAATTATTAGAAAGAAACAAGAAAATGTCAGAAACAATTCCTCTAAACTTCCTTAGCTTTTTTTCTACCCCATACCATTTTGATAAAAGTGTAGCAAAAAGCAGAGATGCTTTTTCAGCTAATACAAACCTGTTTCATTAGTGTAATCAATAAGCTATAGTGTAATCTAAATCACATGTTTAGCAGTGATTTCTGTTATTTCTACAATTGACTGTGCTACAGCACCAATTTGATACACCTACTGCACAAGCAATCAAGTCTTTATTTAAATTTTTGGCTAATAATCCAATGTTCTATTTAATTAAATTTTGAAAGTTACTTATTCAACCATCAATGTATTTGAATTTCGAATAAAAAGGAACTTCATTATTTTACGAATGACTCAGGACAATTGGGTCTAGTATAAAATGTTTTAGGCAAATTTATTTTTACAAGATTACTAGAGTTTATGCATTTGAAATTACAGTTAAAAACTTTATATAAGTTTCTATTCTCTACCCAAATTCTTAAGTTCTTTATGTACCCAAACAAATGCCAAAATAATCAAGTCAATTTTTGGTCTCTATGATTTATATTTAGATATTTGAAAATGGCTTTGAAAAAAGCAAGCATTTTATGTACAATATAAGATGTATTATAAAAGTATGTTTTATGTAAAATGTATAATTTTATGTATTATAAAAGTTTTTTGTCTGACACTCCTCAGAGTCTAAACATTAGAATGAGGCTCCGAAAGATTGAGATGGGAAATATATACCTGTTATAGTTGAAATTGGTCAATCAAATAAACATGAGCATATGACTGGCATAGCTGTCCAATCAGTACCTTGTGCCTATAGAAAGATTACCTCTTGAGTCCAAGAGAGAAAATGAATTCCTTTTGTCTACACAATAACAGCTTATTGTTTGTATGTAGATTCTTTCCAAAACTACTGATGAAAATAGGACCGGGCTCTGCCAATTATCTTAAACATCTTGTCATTATAGACTTTGGTACAATCTGTGTTATCTAAAAGATGTTGTAGGATGGCAAAGTCACTTGTTTTTAGCAGTGTTCCTAGACCTACAAGATCAAGGAGGCTGTTCTCTGTTAGGGGCAGTTTTGTTGTTTTTTCCTATCCCCCAGTCTTTGGGTTGTGCATCCTATGTAGCCAGAATCACATTTTTGGGTGGTAGGAACTCTTTTGCTTGGTAGGAACGCAATCCTTTTGAATGGATGGAAGGGCTCTCCTAGTGCTGTTAACAACATGAGGATTGACAGGAAAGAAGCATTTTGTGATGGCTTGTTTAATCTGACTTTTAAATCGCTAGCAATTCACAAAGCTTGTTACCAGTCCGTGGTATTTTAAGATAAACTGGGCACTTTTGTGGACCAAACTTTAAGCAAATTCAGATATTTTGTTATTAGATATTTGGATTGTAGTCAGCTTATGTGGATATAAAATTACAGAAATGAAAGAAATATTTTAAGCAATTTCTTTTCTAGCTTTTGAAGACCTGTTTGATGATGAAGATTTGTCATGAAATAACCAATGTCAAGTAAGCCGGTTTCCTATCCACATTTTGCAAAGAAGTTTTCAATGCTGGATCACAGTGAATTCAACTATAAGGGGCTATTTTTGATAAGGATATCCATAAGTGCAAAGCATTGCTTCAAGAAATTATTTGCTATTGCTGACTTGGCAGTTGTATGCTGGTTTTTGACATCAATCTTACCTTATGACAACATTTATGTTTAAATTTTATTCAGTGTAATAGTTAGTTTATTGATTATGCAGAAGAGGAAATTAATTTCATTTTTGACTTTTGGCTAATCTTTCGGTCTTGTTGCAGTTTTGATATTTTTACTGTTCACCCTGGTTGATTCTGAATCTCTTCCACAACAATGTTTTTCTTTTACCATATGACTTTAGATTTTACAAGCTTTGTGAATGTTGATTAAAAGGTTTACTGGTTGGGTGTGGTATACCTCCACATTGTATGTTGATTTGTTATTGTTATATGGTAGCCTTACTTTAACCTCCTAAGTCAATGATCATTGTCCTGACTCAATGAATAAAGGTTTTTGCATCTTGTCCTTGATGTTTTAAAAGGTATACTGCATGTTTAAAATGGTATACTTTTAGACATCGAGTCATATGCATACTCCTTACTATTCTCTGTCTTACTTAGTGTCTTACCTGAGTGTCTTCCTTTACTTATAATCATGTAGCTTTGCAATACCCACCCTCTACATTCATTTTCGCGTTTTTATAGCAAACTGTCATCAGGGTAAATGTATGTCTGACTATCTTTCCTTGAATGGTTCTCTTACCATGGATGGAAAATTAAATATGAATTAACTCAATGTAACAAAAACATTATCTTTCTTTTTGAGTGATTTCAAACAAGGCTGCTTGTCGAAAAGTAGTATAGCATTAATGCATATAAATATCGTTTGGTTTGTAAGGATTGTTCTTCTTTTAAGTAGTGGATTCACTGACCACATAATGATAATTAAGGCTATTCTACTGTTATTTGTTTATGGTCTTGTATAAGACAGTAATAAGAACAAGTTTCTGTGCAGGTACAATATTTTTGCTTTTATTTTCCATCCTTGGATATTATGTCAATAATATCCGAATATTTCTGAATTTATCAAGATAAAAATATAGTCAAGAAACATCCAGTGATTGACTTTTTGCAGCTAATTAACTAAAGCCGAGTATCTAAGTGAATATTATATAAATACTGATGTCTATTTATTGGTTGACTTTTTTATGCGTTTGATATCAGTATATTTATCTATAACTTCTTGTCTTCATTCTTTGTTGATTTGCAATTCTGGGTTTTTTCGCTTCAACATAAGTTTGCCTCCTTGTTTTTCTAAGATTGATTGACATTTCTTCACAGTTACTATTTTGCTCTTTGTTGATCCCAGCAATCATTCCTTTGCTGACATGACTTAAATTTTTTTCCGGTTGAACTTTTTGATGGACTACCGCATGATGTTTCCTTGCTTGCCCACATCGTTTTTTGAACTTAAGTTTGTCATTGTGACCAGACTTCGGCTCAATGTCTTCAGGGCTAGTGCCCGCAACCACTGTCGGAGAAATTTTTCCTCTGTCAAAAGCCAGTACATTTGTGTCGTCATCACCGACTCTTTCGAGAGTATTATACCCCTCCTTTGTGTCGTTCCTACTTCGCAAATCAAGAACATCTTTCGATGAAGCTAGGTCAGTGGCCATTGGTCTCTCATAACACAAACGCTCAGCAGAAAAAGCACTCACGTTTTCTCTATCTACGTTATTTGTATTTACAGTTCTTTCGCCTGTTGACTGATCTTTGCAGATATCGCTATGCAGGGCTTCATCGTAAGATGTATGACACGCCTCCACTTTGTCCCCAATACTTTTTCCAACGGCTCCTGTTTCTTGCAGATAGTTAGTTTCATTTGCAGTATTTCTGGATAGCGAAACGTTAACAGCTGCATCATTGCTCAGACGTTTTGCCTTATCTTCAAGTTCAAGAGTTGTTTCCCTTTTCTTCTCCGCATCTTTGCACCCATCCAGGAAACAGTTTATGTCACCTACTGAAAGATGACTTTTACTGGTCACAACAACCACTTTATCAACTTGCTTTTCATCCGTTTCTTTCATAACACCAAGATCTACACATTTTGATAATGACTCTAAAGTACAGCGTGTAGAATTCGGGTTGGCACACGTGAATGTGGAGGTATCTGAGGTGGCACTCTTGACAGCTTCATTAATACCTAATGACTTGTGCTCCTGTCCCTTTTCTAAACCTTGCAACGGATTTAAGGCACAATTCTCTGTTAGAACATTGCTGTGACTATCTGAAATGCCTTTTTTACTAGTTTCTAAGCCCTTTTCCTTGTTGTTTGACTCTTTCGTTACACTTTGGAGATAAGGCCAAACACTTTTGTCTTTATTTGCATTAGCAGACTCAAAAGCCTCCCTTTTCATGGCACCTGTTTCTTTTCCCGGTACTGTTTTCATATTCATGTCATCATCTGACCCGTTTACCCCCTCATCGCTATTTTTACAGAATCTTGTTGTGGTAGCCCTTTCACTTGTTTCACCTCCGATGATTTCAAACCTTTCTTCTTTAGGTCCTGTCATTCCTTGCTTTTTTTGTGATACGGATGACCTAAGCTCTTCAGAGCTTTTTATAGTAAAGCAACAAAGGTCACCATCTGTCTTTCTGTCCTCTGTTTTACCTTTACAGCAATTATCTTCCTCGAGATTTCTTTTTTCTTTACTAGAAAATATCATGTCATTTTTCTCACTTTGTATGCCCTCAGTTTCCCCAATTGTGGTTGTAACTTGGCCCAGAAAACTGCTATTCAGAGCTGTGTCTCTTATGGGCTTTACAGCTGCCTGTATTGACTCGTTTTTTTGCTTCTGTTCCACAAATTTGAGAGATTTGATGGTTACGTCAGTCCTGTTACAT